GAGCCTTGCTTTAATCCTCCTGTCTCCTAGATAAAAATTAAGACAATCACTAAATTGCCAATTTCCTGAGTGAATCAAATTCTAAATTGCAAGTAAAATCTTAAAAAAAATAAAAAAGAAGATACTTTAAAAAAGATTTTTATAAAATCTTTAAAAAGAAGATACTTTAAAAAAGATTAAAAAAAAAGATTTTGTTTATTCATGAGAGACACAGAGAAAGAGAGGGAGAGAGTCAGAGCCCCTTGTGGGACTCGATCCCAGGAACTGAGCCAAAGGCAGACACTCAGGGACTGAGCTACCCAGGCTTCCCAGCAAATTAAATCTTTTAAAAAAATCATCTAGCATAAATCCAAATTATTTAAGAGGTTCCTCCTAATTCCCTTTTATTGAGAGACTCCTTCCTTAAGCAATATCATTAAGCACTTCAGGCATCTTTTTATATGAGCTCCAACATGTTTAGAAGAAAGAATCTCCTCCGTCCTTCAAAGATCTTCTAGCTGGACTAAGAATCAAACTGAGATGAGCCACATTAGTGGGGAAAAAATAAACTTTAATAGCATCCATATGAGGAATCCACACAGACATGGAAATTCCAACAACAGTGAGTAACATGAGGCTTATATGAGCTAAGGAAAGGATAGGGATCTGAGGATACAAAGAGGAAAAAAAAATCATTAGGAAGCTGAGAGATGTTTCGAAAATCAAGTTTTTCCCATGCCAAAGTGACCTATCTTGGGAGAGCTTACCCTTGAGCCCCTACAAACATAATCATCAAAAGACATCCTAGAATATTCATATTGGCCTTAACCAATATAGACAAAATACCCCAATACTCAACAAGAAAATGAGCTCATAAATTACAGCATAATTCACATAATGGAACATTACATGACAATGAGAAATGAACTGCAAACTCAACATCATGGATGAATCTCATAATGTTGAACAAAAGAAGCTAGACTCTAAAGAAAATACACTATATGGGTGCACCTGGGTGGCTCAGTCAGTTAAGTGTCCAATTCTTGATCTCAGCTCTGGTTTGTGGGATCAAGCCCTGCATTAGCTTCATGCTCAGTGGAGAGTCGGCTTGTGATTCTCTCCCTCTCCCTCTGTCCTTCCCCACACTTCCATGTGCTTTTTCACTCTAAAATCAATAAATCTTTAAAATATATAAATATATGCTGTATGATCCATTTATATTAAATTTGAAACGAGTGAAACTAATCCATGGTGTTAGCCATCATCACAGTGATTACCCTTGTAAAGAAGTGGGAGGAGGCATGGGGGGGCGCCTGTGGATTGGATGCAGGTGGTTTGTTGTCCTTTCTCTGGGTGCTAGTTTTATGGTTACGTTGAAAATTCAATAAACTGTACTTACAATTTGTGCACTTTTCTATGTGTACGTTAATGTGAATAAAAAAAGGTTTTTGAGGGCAGCCCGGGTGGCTCAGTGGTTTAGCGCCACCTTCAGGTCCAGGGCTTGATCCTGGAGACCCAGGATCGAGTCCCACATCAGGCTCCCTGCACGGAGCCTGCTTCTCCCTCTACCTGCCTCTCTCTCTCTCTCTCTCTCTCTCTCTCTCTCTGTCTCATGAATAAATAAATAAAATCTTTAAAAAAATTAAAATTAAAAAAAGGTTTTTGAAAAGTGGGCAACCACTTTAAAGGGACCTAGGAGCCTACCTGAAAAAGCCCCCAATTAACAAAGCTCTAAACAATTTCAGCAACAAAATAACTTAATATTGGATTGTCAACAGAATCATGAGTCTATACTCATAAAATTTATGATTTAACAAGTAACTAAATCGGGGACGAGACAAATCTCCCTTAGGGAAGATAATCTACACACATATTCCTTACAGCAGGAGGTAGAGTTTATTTTTTTTTTAATATTTTATTTATTTATTCATGAAAGACACAGAAAGAGGCAGAGACACAGGCAGGGGGAGAAGCAGGCTCCTCACGCAAAGCCTGACGCAGGACTCCATCCCAGGACCCCAGGATCACACCCTAAGCCAAAGGCAGATGCTCAACCACTGAGCCACCCAGGTGCCCCAGGAGATAGAGTTTAAAACATCCTCCACTCTCCAACCTGAGTGTGAACTGCACTTACTGACTCACTTCCAAAGAGTAGTGTGGAGGTAACTTTATAGTGGAGAAGCCTGGCAGACACTACCTGAGCCAGGTGAGCAAAGTTAACATCATCGTTTGCTAGCATGTACGCTTCTTTTGATGTGATGAGAATGGCAAGTCAGTTTTCTGGTTTTCCTCCTAAAAACCCACAGTCCTAGTATAACTGGAACTGAACTCAAGGTTGTGCTGCGCTTTGGGTGCATCAAACTAAATATCACCTAAAGAAGTTGTTGAAAGCAAAGAACTTTTTATTACTTGTTACATATAATGAGACAGCTCTCAAAACACAGGATGCTTTTTTTTAAGTTTATATATTCATGAGAGACACAGAGAGGGAGAGGGAGGCAGAAACACAAGCAGAGGGAGAAGCAGGCTCCATGCAGGGAGCCCGATGTGGGACTCGATGTGGGACTCGATCCTGAGTCTCCAGGAACACGCCCTGGGCGGAAAGCGGCGCTAAACCCTGAGCCACCCGGGCTGCCCACACAGGATGCTTTTATTCATTGTATTAGCGGGCAGGGCAGGCAGCTCACATATACACTAAGCAACTTATACATATTACTTAGGCTCTGCTTCAACTGTGCTTGCCTAACATGTTAACATGCCAGCACATATAGGTATGTCCAAAAAATGGCAGCAAGCCCCAACTGTGGGAGGGGATCTTAGTATTATAATGGGCTAAAGGCAACTTCAAGACGACTCAGGGGGGAAAATAAATAAATAAATAAATAAATAAATAAATAATAAATAATAAATAAATAAATAAATAAATAAATAACAGGGCTCTTGGCTGGCTCAGTTGCTAGAGCATATGGTTCAACCCCCACCCCCACCCCCGTTTGAGTGTAGAGATTACTTAAAAATAAAATCTTCTGGGACATCTGCGTAGCTCAGTGGTTGAGCGTCTGCCTCTGGCTCAGGGCGTGATCCCGGATTCCTGGGATCAAGTCCTGCATCAGGCTCCTTGCATGGAGCCTGCTTCTCCCCACTCTGCCTATGTTTCTGTGTCTCTCTCTCTCTGTCTCTCATGAATAAATGCAATGCTTAAAAAAAAAAAAAACTTTTTTTTAAATCTTCTTGGGGGCGCCAAGGTGGCTCAGTCAGTTAAGTGTCCAGTTCTTGATTTTGGCTCAGGTCATGATCCTAGGGGGTTGTGAGACTGAGCCCTGTGTCAGGCTCTGCACTGGCCGTGGAGCTACCCTCTCCTTCTGCCCCTCCCACCCCCTCTCACTCTCTTAAAAAAAAAAAAATAATAATAATAATGAAATCCTAAAAAACAAAAACAAAAACAAAAAAAACCCCAGACAACTCAGGAGGGCTTCTGCATAGATCCTCAGTTCCAGTGTGGCTCAAACTAGTTCAGGTAAGGGGCTATTAGGTAGAACACCTAGCTGGGTAGTCTTCTTGGCTGGAACTGCTGGTTCTGCAAAACAAACCCATTCCTTCTCTGCTTTCGTCCCTTCTGCCTTCTCCCTCCTACAGAGGCTCTCTGCCCTCTGATCTAAGTAACTCCCCTGCCGCGTCCTAGCTAACAGGGCAGGGATGTCCCGAGAAGGTAGACCCCATTGATTGAGGGCCGTGAAGTCATGTTAGCAGGGGTGGTGCCACTTTGTCCTGTTCCATAGAGGTCTTTTTCATTTCAAGAGACTTGGAATCTTAAAAATACTTTTATTCTTTATGTTAACGATTTCATGAGGTATATTTGGAAATAGTGTCTCTCCGGTAGTGCTGATTAACTCAGCACGATACAGCAGGCACTCCGACCCCTGGAGGCTAGGCCTATGTGTTCCTGCTTGGTCCAGCTGTGACTGGACACAACGTGACTGCTTCAGTTCTGAACTGACAAGATGGATGTCTGGATGCCAGCTTCATAACCACGAACGAAACAAATCAAATTAAATGTGCATTCTTCAAAAAACCTGACCGGTACTCCTTAAAACTGTCAAAATCACCAAGGACAAGAAAAAACTGAGAAACTATCACAGTCAAGATTAGCCTAAGAAGACATAATGAGTGAATGCGACATAACGTCCTTGACAGGATGCTGGAACAGAAAAGGGGCCTTGGGGGAAACTGGTGAAATAAAAAAATACAGGGCAGTCCCGGTGGCGCAGCAGTTTGGCGCTGCCTGCAGCCTCGGGTGTGATCCTGGAGACCCGGGATCGGGATCGAGTCCCACGTCGGGCTCCCTGCGTGGAGCCTGCTTCTCCCTCTGCCTGTGTCTCTGTCGGTCTCTCATGAATAAATAGATAAAATTCAAAAAAAAATTTTTAAGATTTATTTATTCATGATAGACACACAGAAGGGGCAGAGACACAGGCAGAGGGAGAAGCAGGCCCCATGCACCGGGAGCCCGACGCGGGACTCGATCCCGGGTCTCCAGGATCGCGCCCCGGGCCAAAGGCAGGCGCCAAACCGCTGCGCCACCCAGGGATCCCCCTAAAGTAAAATGTTTTGTTTTTAAGCAGGAACTGCGTGTCTCTCATGAATAAGTAAAATCTTTAAAAATATATTTAAAAATAAAAAAACAAACAGGAACTGCAACCGAGCCTTCTCAGAGCTGTGACAAATGAGTGAAAAGTGTACAGGCCAAGCGCGGGCCGCAGTACTTAGCACGCAGGTGTCAGGCGGCATTACCGTAATTCTAGGTAAAGTGCAGGAGGCAAACTCAGACCCTGGGGAATTTTGAGCAGGGGGAGGGGTAACCGCGTGCAGACCCCTCCCCGCCCCCGCCCCCAGCCCCCAGCGGGCACGTGACCAGCGGGTCGGGCGCGCGTGCACGCCACCTGCACGCACACGCCGTAGGGGGCGGGGCGCCCCGGGACGCCGGCGTGGGGCGTGGCCGGGCTCCGTTCCCACACCCGCGGCGGCCCCCGGAAGCGGTGCGTACGGGATGCCGCGGCCCGGAAGGCGCGCCTGGCGGGATCCGGTGGGCCTCCCCGGCCGGGGTGGCCGCCCCTTGTTGCTAGACGACGCGAACTAGCCTGCGTCACTTCCTCGGCGCGCCGCCTGCCCGCGCCTCGGCCGGAACCCGGGGGTCCGGAGCCGGGGTGGACTGGTTGTCCGAAGTCCAGGACCGGAGCCAGCTGGGCAGCTGCATCCGAGGCCACGCCACCTGCGGGGAAGAACCTGAACTGGGGTAGGAAGATGGCGGCAGACAAGCCTGCAGGTGAGGCGCCCGCGGCCGGCTGCTGATGCGGGTGGGACCCCCGGGGTGGGTTGGCCCTGGCGCGGAGTCGGCGGGACCCCAGGGCGACTTTCGTTTGGAGGTGCGCCCTCGCCCAGCCGTCCAGGTGTGAGCCTTTCACCCCAGATCCGAGGGGCTTTTCCTTAAGTGCAGTATGAAGCCGCTAGCGATCGCCTTTGCCCGCCCCGGTCTGCAGCACGTCTGACTTAAACTTACCCAGCCGCTTCACAGGCTTTCCGGCGCTCCAGTGGGGAAGCGAGCGGAACGTGGGAGGTTCACGGGGGGCCCGAGCTCGCAGCTGCCTGTGTGGGACTCGCTCGCACCCAGGATGGGACTCGCACGGGCTCCTCGGCCGCACGGGACCCTGCCTGTGGTCAGCGACGGCCTGTGAAGTCAGCTTTGTGAAGACTGCCTGACTGTTCCGGTAGACCTGAGATCAGCGCGTCTCTCGTCGTTGCGTGCTCTCGAATGTCTTGCGTTGACAGCCCATTTCCTCCTAGTTCCTCACGGTCAGTTAATCTGATCTCGATTATTTCCTTCACGGATTACTTACTGGCCCATTCCTAGAATCTTCTCCGTTACGTGATGTACAGTTCTTTCCTGCCTGCCTCGGGGACGGTCTGCCTACGGTGTCCTGTAAAGAAATTAATGTTCTCGGTGGCATCTCAAGTTGGGAGAACTTAACTGGGATTGACTGGGATGTTGGGAGAACTTAACCGACAGATCTTACAAGTGGTCAACACTTAGACTTTTTACAGTAAGATTTTAAAGAAAGGAGAGTCTCAATAATACTCTGTAGATTTTGATCTCGATAACTGACAGATGGACTTGGTTTGAAATGAAAGTGAGCTAGTCCTAAGATAGGTGCAGATGAATGAGATTGTCGAAAGATCTCATCAGTAATCCGAGAAGAAAAGCAATAGAGAAAAGGCTTACAAAGCGATGATGATGGAGTATGCTACAGAATTTTAGGTAGGCTGGTCACAGAAAGCCTCTGCTGAGGTGCTGCTGTCTGAGCAGATACCGCACGAAGTGAAGGAGTGAGCCGTATGGAATGGGGTGGAATGGATAAGGAGAATGTTCCAGGTAGGAAATAAGCATGACTTGTCCAAGGCTGGATCAAGGGGACCCACATCTTCCTAACTCAAGGCAGTGTCTCTGTTTCCCCAGGTTTACTTAACCATATCATTGCACTTGCCTGGAATAACCTTTTTAGGCCGAAAGCCCTTCTAGTTTTCAAGTCCTACCTGTCCAAGAGCATTCTTCTACCTGTTGATTCACTCAAAGATTGAGTACCAGGCACTGCCTTGGATGTGGAAGAATTGGATATGACACACTCCCTGCCTTTGAGGACCAACTGCTCGGTCTGTGAGAGACAGACCTATCATCGTGGCACATCCATTGGTAGTACATATGTAATATTGCCATGTAACGTAGCTATCTAATACGTGTAGTGGAGGAACAAGGTCCAGAGTTATTTGGGGCTGTGTCTTTGGTTGAAGTTTATTGGCCATATTGTAGGAAACTTCTTAACTAGGTAATGTTACATTTGTGTTAAGTAGATGACTGTTTAATGTGGCTCCCTTGAATCTCTCCTGTCCATCCCCATTTCACCTGCTGTGATTCTAGCCTTTATCTCTTTTTTTTTTTTTAATTTTTATTTATTTATGATAGTTACACAGAGAGAGAGAGGGGCAGAGACACAGGCAGAGGGAGAAGCAGGCTCCATGCACCGGGAGCCCGACGTGGGATTCGATCCCGGGTCTCCAGGATCGCGCCCTGGGCCAAAGGCAGGCGCCAAACCGCCGCGCCACCCAGGGATCCCTCTAGCCTTTATCTCTTAATGTGGTCTGTTTCACATTAAGCAGCTTTCTGACTGCTGTTTGGTTCTCTTCCTATCCAGCCCATTTTTTTTCACTGCTGTCTTTTTATTTCTAAAACACTAATTGGAACATACCATTCCCGTGCCTATAAACTTCCTAAGATTGTACCATCTTGTGTGCCTCAAATCCTCACTCCTAAATGCTATTTGTGAAACTTCTTGGTCTGTTTCCGGCTGATGTTTCTATATCGACACACCTAGCTCTTCACACCAGAAATGACTCTCTTCAAAAGCATTGTGTACTTTTGAGCTGCTAAGTAGTAATGCTCTCCTTTCTCTTTTCTATCTGGTAAACACTCTCCTCGAAGTCTGTTTATATGCTGCTTCATCTCTGAGCTCCTGGGCTCAGTTCCCTGTCATGGAGGGTATTGTGTGCTTATTCTTAATTAGGTAAGAAAGTGAGTGATCACCGTGTGGGAGGGGTAGATTTAAGTGCAACAGGACTTGTTGTTAATAGCACTCATGTTGTGCTATTAATTTATTCAGTAAATATTTACCCGTGGCCTGCTTTGCCAGGCACTAACAATCTCTTTAGTAATGAATCTTATGGTATGAAACACAGATTAACATGTAAACAGGGGGTACCTGGATGGCCCAGGTCGTGATCCCAGGGTCTTGGGATTGAGTCCTGCATCAGGCTTTCTGCAGGGAGCCTGCTTCTCCCTCTGCCTATGTCTCTGCCTCTCTCTGTCTCTCATGAATAAATAAATAAAATCTCTGAAAACAAACAAACAAACAGGGACGCTTATGATCAAGACCTGAGCTGAAATCAAGAGTCAGACACTTGGGGCACCTGGGTGGCTCAGTTGGTTAAGTGGTTTCTTGATTTCCTCTCAGGTCATGATTTCAGGGTCGTGAGATCAAGCCCCATGTGGGGTTCTATGCTCAGCAGGGCGTCTCCTTGAGATTCTCCCTTTGCCCCTCTCTCCTACACACACACACTCTCTCTCTCTCTCTTTCTCTCTCATAAATATATAAATGAGTGAGATGCTTAACCAGCTGAGCCAGCCAGGTGCCCCTTGGTTAAATTTTAAGACCTTTTAAGCCTCAGCTTTCCTCTGTGTAGAACAAGAATGATAACAGTATCTATGTCTCAGCATTAGTAAAGGATTAAAATGACATAATGTCAGGCCCTAATTTTTTTTAAATGTAGGATAATATTAACTTTGGCATAAGTGGTAGGATGGTGAGGAGAGGCAGATAGGAGAAATGTTTAAGGAGTGAAACTGGCAGAATTTGTGACTGGGTGTAGTAGGTGAGCAGAAAAACTTGTTCCTTAGGAAAGGTTCTTAGTTGAACCTCAGTTTCTTCATTTGTAAGATGGGCATCCTAACAGTTTTCTGACTTTTTTTTTTTTTTTAATTTTATTTGTAAGTAACCTCTACACCTGATGTGGGGCTCAAACTTAACAACCCCGAGACCAAGAGTTGTACGCACTACCATCTGGGCCAGCCTAATTTACTAATAGCTTTTTTTTTAAGCTTTATTTTCAAGGGGATCCCTGGGTGGCTCAGAGGTTTAGTGCCTGCCTTCAACTCAGGGCCTGATCCTGGAGTCCCAGGATCCAGTCCCACATCAGGCTCCCTGCATGGAGCCTGCTTCTCCCTCTGCCCGTGTCTCTGCCTCTCTCTGATGAATAAACAAATAAAACCTTAAAAAAAAAGTTTTATTTTCAAGATTTTATTTATTTAAGAGAAAGAGGGAGAAAGAATCTGAAGCAGACTCTGCATGGAGCATGACATGGGGCTCAATCCTACAACTGCAAGATCATGACCTGAGCTGAAACTGAGAGTTGGATGTTCAACCAGCTGGGCCACTTAGGTGCCCCCAGTAGCATCTTAATTTATTTACCTCATAGAGTTGTAGCTTGGGTGTATCAACCGAGGTAAAGTGTATGTTTTAGCTCATCTCCTCTGAGAAGCAGAGCCCAGGTAAAGTGCTTTTTATTTGAAAGGTACAAAGGCACAGTAGAAGTGAGAGAGAGAAGAAAGGAAGGTGCAGTATATTACATACCTGGCTCCTGTTTCACCTTGAGCCAAGAGGCAGAGCAGGTCACTTGCATAAGCGATTTTTCTGAAAGGGTTTCAAGGAGAAACTACTTCAGAATAGTCCATATGAGAGAGAAAAAAGGGATAATTTATCTGTCCAGTTTCCTCCCATTCCCTGTTTCCAATTGGTAAAGACTCCATGAGTAACAAAGTAACCTGTGTTTCTGGATTGTGTGGCTTCTCAGTGACTGATCTACCAGCAGTTCTCACACCCTGATTTGTATTTCAGTCAAATTGTAGAGGAGGGGTTGATGGGAGACCAACCAATGACAAAGATCAAAGGGGCAGTGGGAGATTAACAAGGTCTGTGTCCCTATATAACTATAAAAGTAACCTGAAACTTTGGTTTTTGACCAAGGAAATACCAACAGTGTTTTAGGATGATTTATTTGACTATTTTTCATGGACAAGGTACTCAAGTCAGGCATTGCTGGTCACATATTTCTCTAAGCTTTGTAGTAATCAGCTGGTATATGTAGGATTTTTTTATTAATTTTTATTTATTTATGATAGTCACAGAGAGAGAGAGGCAGAGACACAGGCAGAGGGAGAAGCAGGCTTCATGCACTGGGAGCCCGACGTGGGATTCGATCCCGGGTCCCCAGGATCACGCCCTGGGCCAAAGGCAGGCGCCAAACCGCTGCGCCACCCAGGGATCCCTATATGTAGGATTTTGATAAGTCAGAGACACTTGTCCAAGTGATAGAAAACCACATGTGAGATTTGTGAACTTCAGCTGTATGGTGACTTCGGCAAACCTGAATTATTTTTCTTTGAACTGGCATCCTTTATTTTTTTTTAATTCTATTTTATTCATTCATGAGAGACACACAGAGAGAGGCAGAGACATAGGCAGAGGGAGAAGTGAGCTCCCTATGGGGAGCCTGAGCGGGACTCGATCCCAGGACTCCAGGATCATGACCTGAGCCAAAGGCAGATGCTCAGCCACTGAGCCACCCAGGTGCTCCGGCATGCTGCTTTTTTTTTTTTTTTTTTTAAACTTACCTTCACAAAGGCATCAACACTACTTTGTGACCTTACTGGTAGGTTTTCTTAGACCTTAACATTCGTTATTCCTTTGGGGGAAAAATGTCTTTCTTGAACATCATTGGAGCTGTATTTTGAAAAGTGTACTTTGTGTGGAAGACCCTCCTCTAATCAGATTTCAGTTGTTAACATTCTGTATTGGAATGTGTCTGTGCTTTCAGTTAACTGACTTCTTTCAGTTTTGGAAAAGCAGCGTATTTCTTTTCTACTTAGTTCAAACCTAAAGGAAATTGTTTGGTTCAAAATGAAGCCTATTGGCTTAAAGGGTGTCAAGGTTTGTGTGCCTAAGAGCTCTGTATGCCTGGAAGGTCAACCATGTTTGTTAAGCCAGAGTAGAAGGAAAGTCAAGCTAATGGATGAACGGCCATACACTCTTACAATTGGCAATGGAGACTACTTTTGGACAAATAAAGACACATTGTGGAATTATGTGAAGGCTCTTTCTGGTAAGAACTCAGAAGTTACAAATAATGTTTTAGAAACTGATTATGAAAATAACACTTATTCCTTACAGAAAACTCGAAAAGTACAGAAAGATAACAAGGAAAATAGTAATCCCATGGGAGTGCTTTTGTTTTAAAGTTTTATCTTGAAGTAAAAAATGCAGATAAAATAATGGTTGATTAACTTGTAAAAGGCTAATTCTTGAGCTCAGTTCTCTGAAATGTCTAGAAATGGGAATTTCAGAGTCTCTTGTAAGCCTCAGAGTCTGGTTTATTTATCTTTTTTTTGTTGTTGTTGTTTTTGTTTATGATAGTCACAGAGAGAGAGAGAGAGGCAGAGACAGAAGCAGGCTCCATGCATCGGGAGCCCGATGTGGGATTTGATCCCGGGTCACCAGGATCACACCCTGGGCCAAAGGCAGGCGCTAAACCGCTGCGCCACCCAGGGATCCCCCTTTATTTATCTTAAAGTTGGCTTCTCTCTTTCCCAGGAAAATTGTAGGGGAGTTTTACAATTCCTGGAGGATAATGATGGAAAGTAGAAGCTTAAACTCTTCAGTGCGTTGATGAATTATTGGGTTATTTCCCGTTGCTTTGAAGTATTTATAAATCACTCTTCGGCAGTTGGGCCCAGAAGTCCTATTAAAGACTGTAACCTAGAGAGGGTATATTTTAGAAGAAGGTATGGAGGTAGCTTGATGGCAAACTAAGAAATTTTGACATTTGCTTTAAATTTAGTATATGTACTTCCTTATGAGGGAAGATAAATGTAGTAAACATTTTGGGTTTCCTAAACATTTTTAAAGTGTATTCATTGTTAAAATTGTATGACAGTTGTACATGCGTTTGAGGATTATGCTTCACTCTGAACGCACTCTTCACTTTCTGGTCCCAAAATCCTATGTCCCATTTTTACACATTTACAGGTAATTGGCTCTGGGGCACCTGGCTGGCTCAGTCAGTAGAGCATGCAACTCTTGCTCTCAGGGCCGTGAATTCAAGCTCCACGTTAAGTAGAGATTACTTGAGGGGGATCCCTGGGTGGCGCAGCGGTTTGGCGCCTGCCTTTGGCCCAGGGCGCGATCCTGGAGACCCGGGATCGAATCCCACGTCGGGCTCCCGGTGCATGGAGCCTGCTTCTCCCTCTGCCTGTGTCTCTGCCTCTCTCTCTCTCTCTCTCTGTGACTATCATAAATAAAATTAAAAAAAAAAAAAAAGTAGAGATTACTTGAAAAATAAAATCTGGGGCACCTGCATGTCTCAGTCTATTAAACATCCAGCTGTTAGTTTTGGTTCAGGTCATAATCTCAGAGTTATGGGATCGAGCCCCATATAGGACTTCACACTCAGGGCAGGGTCTGGTTGTCTATCTCCCTCTGTTCTTCCCCTCCTCACATGCTTGCTCTCTCTCTCTTTCTCTCTCTCCCTCTCCCTCTCCCTCTCTCTCAAATAACATCTTTTAAAAGAAAATAGAATCTAAAATAATTAAATAGGGATGCCTGGGTGGCTCAGCGATTGGGCACCTGCCTTCAGCTCAGGGTGTTATCCTGGAGTCCCAGAATCAAGTCCTCCATCAGGCTCCTTGCATGGAGCCTGCTTCTCCCTCTGCCTCTCTCTGTGTGTCTCTCATGAATAAATAAATAAAATCTTTTTAAAAATAAATAAATAAAAATAAAAAAAAACAGTTTTACTATTAAAAAATAAAATAATAAAGATTTTATTTTTAAGTAATTTCTATACCCATTGTGAGGCTTGAACTCACAACCTCAAGACCAAGAAGCACATACTTTACCGACTGAGCCAGCCAGGTGCCCCCAAAATAAAATCTTAAAATAATAATAAATAAATAAATAAAAGTAATTGGTCCTTACTCTTATTATACACCTGAAAGTTTTGCAGAATAGATGTGTTGTATTTAAATAGGTTAATGATAACTCATCACCAGGCTTTTTAAAAATTTTTATTTATTTTTTAAAATAAATTATGTATGTATGTATGTCACCTGGCTTTCTAAAGAAAAAGCTGTTTGAGTGTCCTTTAAAAAAATTTTTTTTCATGTTTTAAGTAATCTCTATACCCAACGAGAGGCTTGAACCTACAACCCCAAGATGAAGAGTTGTATGTTCCACTGCCTGGGCCAGCCAGTTGCCCCTAACAGTGTCCTTTTAAACTTCCTCTAATAAACTATTAGTTTTCCTCCTCCCTATTAGGACTCAATTCTTATTTATCTATATACTGAAGTGGAAATGAAATACTAATTTATCTGCTAACTTTTTTCATTTATTTTATGTTTTTAAAGTATTATATATTTAAGTAATCTCTGCACCCAGTGTGGGGCTCAAATTCATGACCCTGAGATCAAGAGTCGCAAGGTCTTCTAACTGAGCCAGCCAGGCACTCCTTATCTACTAACTTTAATACCAAAATACCATTTTTTTGTAGAGCGGATTTAAGTCTTTTTGGTAAGTTCACTTAAGCACAAGTTATATTTTGTTCTTGGTGTTAAGTGGTTTCTCAAAAGAACATGTAGTCTACCAGGGATTTCACAGTAATCTAAGAGCTATTCCATAATCAAGTCATACTAAGTCTAATTTCATTGTTAAGTTGTATATTTTTTCTTACTTTCTTTTTTAGACATTTTATTTTTATTTTATTTAAAGATTTTATTCATTCATGAGAGACAGGCAGAGACATAGGCCGAGGGAGAAGCAGGCTCCCCATGGGGAGCCCAATGCAGAACTCGATCCCAGGACCCCGGGATCACACCCTGAGCCAAAGGCAGATGCTCAATCACTGAGCCACCCAGGAGTCCCAAGTTGTATGTTTAAAGTGCAGAAATAAGTATATATTTTTTAAGAAACTGTAAGAATCGTTAATTGTTCTGTCAAAAGGAAAGGGGAAGGGAGCTAATATGTATTTCCCATCTCCAGGCAGAGAGTTAGGTGGCCAAGGGGAGACCAGACCAAATATATGACTGATTCCAAGGCTTGTACTGCTTTCATGGCACCGTGTTTCCCTCTTGAGAGAGGGAAGTTGCAAGTCTTTACTGACTGCCATGTGCCAATCCAGGACTCCCAGAGTCAGCTCTGTGGAGGACTGGTTCTTTGAAATGCTCCTGGACTATAGATTTCTAGATAGTTATCAAAAATGTTCACGTCATGCTTGTTTCAGCAGCACATGTATTAACATTGGAATGATATAGAGAAGATTAGCGCAATTCCTGTGTGAGGATGATATATGCAAATTCATGAAGTGTTCCATATTTTTATATATATTTGGAACGTTAACAACAACAACAAAAGCCCACATCATGAATGTAAATAGAGCTTAATGACTCCTCACAGACCCAGAAGCAGTCACTAGGCCCCTGAAGGATCGATTTGAAGATTAAATGAGTTAACCTATTTGAAGTGCTTACATGCTTAACACAGAGTGAGTGCTCAATAAATGTTAGCTGCTATTGTTACAGTTAGGCAGGAATTGCAGGTTAGTGTAAGATGGAGAAACAGTTTCTCAAGCTAGAACCTGGCATAGTAGGGGCTAGAAAGAATGATGGATGTTTAAAAGCTGCAAGCAGTTTACATTTGGAACCCTGTTTCCTCAGGACTTCCCATGCCTGACTCCTGATTTAGGTTCAAACTCACCTCCCATTCCCACTCCTCTTTCACACACCCTTGTTATTGTCATAGCATTATTCACATCTGGAATTGTATATTTGCATCCTATCTCCCCAAGGAGTCTTTGAGTTTCACAAGTGCTGGAATCTTGTCTGTGTGGTTCATGTTTACATCCCTAGCACTTAGAACAGTGCTTGACCCATAGTGGTCTCTGAGTTATTTATTAATTGAATGCATGGCTTGGTTTTATTATGTACAAGCCAAGCTATCACAGTTAAAACAAAACAAAACAATTCCCGGCAAGTGTGTGTTTCTGCATGGCCAGAGTTAAGGAGTGAACAATGTCTTCTGAGACACTTGGGGTGGTGGTAATGGTAGTGGTTGTAGGAATTATTGAATAGTAAATTTGAAGGATGAGATTATCTGCCTTTTCCCCCCATGTGGAAATTCGTCTTCCATTGATACCTTAGTTGAATATAAGTGTTGTTTTGTGAACAAACATAGCTGTTTCTATAAACTTGTTTGAGGTTACTGAATTTCTGAGTTGGAGGGCACTCTAGAAGTCATCTAATAGAGCTGCTCATTTTAGTAAACAGGGAAACTGACATTTGCCCCAGTTCCACTTCTATATCATCCTTTTAATTTCAGAGGCGGCGCTAGAGTTTTTGCCATCTTATTTCAATTCCAGGTATTATCTTCATCTCACTGTGCTACCTGGTCCCATCTGCATGTTGAAAATAATAAATTCTGTACTACTATGCTACATATGGGGACTTAGTCTGCCAGATACATTTCAGTCACTTCACATATATTCTTAATAAAGCCTCCCAATAACTCTAAAAAATGTATTCTTATCCCCATTTTGCACCTGGCTTTGAGCTTTGGAGGTCTTTGGATTCCAGGCGGAAGTAACAATTCTATCTGGAAAAAAAAAAAAAGTCCCTGTTATAAATAAGAAATTCAAATATCACAAGACTTTGATAGTCTAAAGACTTCTTTATTCTGAGTCATAAATAGTGGCATCACCCTCGCATGCCTATGTTTGCAGCCCATTGCATCATACTTTGCAGTGGTCATATTTTTTTTTTATTGGTATTCCATTATTGATGGATGCATGGAGCTTTTGTTGGTAAGTAAAATTTAAAAAGCCCGGAATATTCTTTGGGAGATATTGAAACATAAAAGTCACCTTTTTAAAATGAAAGGCAGATTTTTAAACCAATTTAAAGTATTAATATTAAAAATGACTAATATTAAAAAAAAGACTAATATTCATATCACCTACATAATATTCTTGCCATAAATGTTAGACTTTATGCATGAAGAAACAGATAAACCCAGAATATGAGACATTTTTTTAAGATTTATTTATTTATTTATTCGAGAGAGAGAGAGAGATTGGCAGAGACAAAGGCAGAGGAAGAAGCAGGCTCCACGCAGGGAGCCTAACATAGGACTCGATCCCCGGTCTCCAGGATCAGGCCCTGGGCTGAAGGTGGCACCAAACCACTGAGCCACCCGGGCTGCCCTAGAATATGAAACATTCTATGAGGTAACTAGCTTAGACTTTTTAAAACAATTAGAGGGGTGTCTGGGTGGCTCAGTGGATTAAGCATCTCCCTTCTGAGCATCTCCCTTGGTCTAGGGTCATGATCCCAGAGTCCTGGAATCAGGGCCTGCATTGAGCTGGCTGCTTGGTCAGTGGGGAGCCTGCTTCTTCTCTTCCCCTCTCCCCCCCCCCCCCCCCCCGCCTCCCACTTTCCCTGCTGGTGCTCTCTCTCTTGCTGTCAAATAAAATCTAAAAAAATTTAAAAACCCAAGAACAAAATAAATAAAACCGTTAGTGACTTGATAAGCAAAAAAAGATGGTGTTCTAGACTAAAATAAATGAAAGCTATTTAAGGAAATTTGTAAGCCTTGATTGGTCCCTGGATTGGGAAGGAAAAATAAAGTTAAAAGACATGTCTTAGAACCATCAGGGAAATTTGAATGGAAATTAGTGGACAATTTGTTAGATGATACTATTGAATTATTATTACCTTTCTTAGTCTGATTTTATTTTGGTTATGTAGGAGACTATCTTTAAATAATAGGAGAGGCATGTTGAAGTAGGGGAGTTAAATGTCATATTACTTTCAAATGATTCAGTGAAAGAAATAAGTAAGGAGTAATGTGGCAAAATGTTAGAAATTATGAATCTTCATTTACATAACGCTCTTGAAATGACTGTTTAAACGGAGAGCAACAAATCAGTGGTTGCTAGGGGTAGAGAGGCAGAGAGGAAGTGAGTGTGGCTATGAAGTATAAAAGAAAGGATACTGGGACACCTGGGTGGCTCAGTAGTTGAGCATCTGCCTTCAGCTCAGGACGTGATCCCAGAGTTCAGGATCTAGTCCTCCGTTGGGCTCCGACATGGAGCATGCTTCTCCTGCCTCTGCCTATGTCTTTGTGTCTCTCATGAATAAATTTTAAAAAATCTTTTTAAAAAATTAAAAGGAAGGATACTTCCGTTGATGGAAATTTGTGTTTCTTGGCCATATCGTTGCTAGAATCCTGGTTGTGATACCATACTATGGTTTTGGAGGACGTTACTATTGGGGGAAACTGGGTAAAGGATACAAAGAATCTCTCAACATTATTTTTTTCCCTGATTTTTTTTGAAGACTTTTTATTGATTTTAGAGAGAGAATGCACATTCAAGTGCAGGGGGAGGAGCAAAGGGAAAGAAGCCAATATCCCACTTAGTGTGGAGCCATCTGGCATGGGGCTCAGTCTCATGACCCCTGAGATCATGATCTGAGCTGAAATAAAAAATGGAATGCTCAACCGACTGAACCACCCAGGTGCCCCTCAAAATTATTTCTTACAGCTGCATGTGAATTGACAGTTATCTTAAAAAGCTTAACATAAAAAAACAATCTAGGTGAAGACAATATGGGTGTTCATTGTATATTCTTTTTTTTTTTTAAGATTTATTTTATTTGAGAGAGCATGAGCAGGAGGGGCAGAGGGAGAGAGGGAGAATTTTAAGCAGACTCTGGGGAGCCTGATGTGGGGCTCAATATCATGACCCTAGATCACGATCTGAGCCAAAACCCAGAGTTGGACATTCAGCTGACTGACTACACCAGCACGCACCCTTGGGTGTTCATTGCATATTCGTTCAGCTTTTCTGTAGGTATGACAGTTTTCTAAATTGAAAATTGGGGCAGGGGTTGGAAAATAAAAGGATCCAAAAAATTAATAGAGAAATTGATTGGTGGTTTATTTTTTTTTTAAGATTTTATTTATTGGGGATCCCTGGGTGGCGCAGCGGTTTGGCGCTTGCCTTTGGCCCAGGGCGCGATCCTGGAGACCCGGGATCGAATCCCACGTCGGGCTCCCGGTGCATGGAGCCTGCTTCTCCCTCTGCCTATGTCTCTGCCTCTCTCTCTCTATCTCTCTGTGACTATCATAAATAAATAAAAATTAAAAAAAAAGATTTTATTTATTAATCATGAGAGAGACAGAGAGAGAGAGGCAGAGACACAAAGGGAAAAGCAGGCTCCATGCAGGGAGCCCAATGTGGGGCTCGATCCCAGGACTCCAGGACCACGGCCTGGGCCAAAGGCAAGAGCTAAACCGCTGAGCCACCCAGGGACCCCTGATTGGTGGTTTTTTTAAATCAAAAGAAGGTTTTCTAAGTGGGAAATACTTATAAATTGTAGAGGATAGTTTCTAAAGACTGATATTTTTTTTAAGATTTTATTTATTTATTCATGAGAGACACACACAGAGAGAGGCAGAGACATACTGAGAGAAGCAGGGTCTGTGCAGGGAGCCCGATGTGGGACTCGGTCCCGGGACTCCAGGATCACACCCTGGGCCAAAGGCAGGAGCTCAACTGCTGAGCCACCCAGGTGTCCCTTTTTAAAGATTTTATTTATTTATTTATTCATAAGAGACACAGAGAGAGAGAATAGGCAGAGGGACAAGCAGGCTCCCTGCAGGGAGCCCGATCTGGGACTGGATCCCAGGACCCCAGGATCACGGCCTGAGCCGAAGGCAGATGCTCAACCACTGAGCCACCCAGGTGCCCCTAAAGACTGATCTAGAGTAAGTACAATTTATATTTTGAGTTCAGTATCTCAGGGAAAAGCAAGAAATAACATGATTAATTTGAGATTAAATGAAGTTAAAATAATCTATAGCATTATAGCTGTCTATACCTTCTCAAGGTGCTGTCACTTTCCTCCCCACCCTGCTATTCCCATTCCCAAAGTCTTAATTATTATTATTACTGCATTGAATAAATGTGAAAAGGGTGAAAGATTTTAAAGGATTTAAAATTTTTTATGGTATTTGATGCACTAGATGCTGCTTTTTTATTGGCTTTGTACATGTGGTTACCTGGAAGTATTTATTCTTACTTTTATAATTTACTTTTTCTCCTTTCCTTTAAAAAAAGAATTAAAAACTCAGGTATGTTTCTTACTGTAGAATGGGAACTATGTTTTAAGGCTACTGCTATGTAATTTTACAGAGCAAACTTCAAAGTTTGTGAAAACTAGATAAGTGTCCTGTTGTCTCTAGAAAGTTATTTCGTGGTTTAGGTTCTTGTCACTTACCTGACATTGAGACCCCAAATCCCAAGGAAAAGAAAGATTTCTGTCAGCTCATCTCCCAATAAATTATCTACCACAGTATGTAAAGAAGGCTTAGTTAAGAAAGAAAAACCAGAAGAAATGAGATCATTTGACTGAATTGTGCTCCCAGATGTTAGGATCGATGATGTTTCTTCTTTTGTGAAAGAGAAAGGTTTCTTTTTTTTAATTTATTTATTCATTTAGAGAGAGGGAGGGAATCTCCCGCAGACTCCCCACTAAGCATGGAGCTGGATGAGGGGCTTGATCCCACAACTTGGAGATCGTAACCTGAGCTGAAATCCAAGAGTCAGATGTTCAACCAAGCCATTCAGATGCTCCAGAAAACTTTTTTTTTTTTTTGAAGCGTTTGTCAGAACAGTTAAAAGTATTGTACAGGGCAGCCCGGGTGGCTGAGCAGTTTCGTGCCGACTTCAGCCCAGGCAGGCATGATCCTTGAGTCCCCGGATTGAGTCCCGCGTTGGGCTCCCTGCATGGAGCCTGCTTCTCCCTCTGCCTGGGTCTCTGCCTCTCTCTCTGTGTGTGTCTCTCATGAATAAATAAATAAAGTCTTTTAAAAAATAAATAAAAGTATTATACCCACGTAGTTTTAGACTTGATTTAGCAGAGATTTTTATGTTTATTTTGGAATTTGGTTTTCAAATAAAAAATACCTAATTTTGAAAATACCAAATTCTAGGGCAGGAATCATTAATCTTAGAATGCATATGGAGGGACGCCTGGGTGGCTCAGCAGTTGAGCAGCTGCCTTCAGCTCTGGTCGTGATCCCACAGTCCTGGGATCGAGTTCCACATCAGGCTCTCTGCCTGGAACCTGCTTCTCCCTCTGCCTATGTCTCTGCCTCTCTCTCTGTGTGTGTCTCTCACGAATAAATAAAATCTTTAAAAAAATTTTTTAAAGTAAATAAATGTCCTTCCTTAACATGATTAAGTATCCATATACATTCTTTTTTTTTTTAAGATATTTATTTATTCATGGGAAATGAAGAGAGGCAGAGACAATAGGCAGAAGGAGAATTAGTCTCCCTGTGGGGAACCAGATGCAGAACTCGATTCCAGGACCCCGAAATCACAACCTGAGTTGAAGGCTCAGATTCTCAACCACTGAACCACCCAGGTGTCCCTTCAGGAAGCTTTTTAAATGTGTTAACCTTGGCTTTTGGATTTCTAAGCCTATGAAAGTATTCTTGGCCTAGAAATTAACTAGGAGTTCTTGTGTAGTTTTCTAATTGTTTAATGTTACTAGATTATAAACTTTTTGAAAGTACTGTATATACACTTATAATCTCCTTTTGTCTCCAAAGCCTGGCATAGTTTCTTGAATATGTAGGACATTAGTATATTGCTGGGGAGCAGATCTAATATTTTTAAGCAAACACAACAGTCTGAGCCCAGATGTCCTGATGGACTGAGTTGTAATCTTTACATAAATGTAAATCTTTACATAAATGTGGGTGTTCATTGTGCCTGACCATAGCTAAGGGAAACATATTTTTTTTAAGTTTTTGAAGGAGTGGCTTCTAACTCACGTGTAACACTAATATACCATTATTTGAGAGAACCCTAACTGTGGCAACTTCATCAGGAAGAAGACAAGAAGAAAACTAGGGGACGTTCGCTGTATAACTTACTTTTTCTTTTCTTTTCTTTCTGTCTTTCTTTCTTTCTTTCTTTCTCTCTCTCTCTCTCTCTCTTTCTTTTCTCTTTTCTTTTCTTTCTTTTTTCTTTTTTCTTTTTTCTTTTCTTTTAGCTTTATTTCTAAACAACTGTAAAACTTGTGTGCTTGCAGACCAGGGAGCAGAGAAACATGAAGGGACAAGTCAGTCCTCTGGGATCACTGATCAAGAGAAAGAGTTGTCTACCAGTGCTTTCCAAGCTTTTACAGTAAGCAGTAGTTTCTTCTTTCCATCTGCTCCATATTTAGGATCTGTCGAATATGAATGTTTTCACAATGAATTTTTAAATTTATAATTTTTATTCTGTAATAATTCAAGAATTTAGATAGTAGGTTTAGTTTTAACATTTAAAAAATTAGAGTTTAAATATGGTAAAAGGAATGGGAGTATTTTGAGCCATTACCAAGTTTTTGTGTTTTCATAAACATGTTTTAACTCTTACAGTGTTGTTTTTAAGTCTTAAAAACTTAGACTTGTAAATATGTGGGTCAGTCTTTTCAGTTCACTGTTTTGTTCAATTTTTTTATCTTGACTATGCTTTAAAATGAAACCCCAAAGATTTCTTGTCAAAACTACCTTTTCTGACATTAAATGATATGGAAAAAAAACCTTAATTGATTATCAGGTTAGGTACATGTAAGCAGAAGAATTTGATACTTGGATATTCAAAGTGTATTTACTGGAAATTAAAATTTAGAATAATTAATCATATTACCTTTCTTCACTAGTCTCAGCTTTTATACCTTACTAGCATTATATACCTATATACATATGTATGTGTGTATATAAATCATGTTGTTTTATACATATATAGGTATATATCTGTGTCTGTGTTGTTGTTTTTAAGATTTTATTTATTTATTCATGAGAGATACGCAGAAAGAGAAAGGCAGAGACATAGGCAGAGGGACAAGCAGGCTCCATGCAGGAAGCTCAATGTGGGACCCAGTCCCAGGACTCCAGGATCATGCCTTGAGCCAAAGGCAGACACTCAACCACTGAGCCACCCAGGCGTCCTTGTCTAGGTGTCTTACACAAATATTGATAGTAGAGTTTAAGTCTTAGGATATAAATATCTACAATTTTTTTCTAGCTTTATTAAGATGAGATTGACATATCTCAACTGCTTAATTGATAAGAATATTCATCTAGTGACTTCAATTAGTATATTTAGGAGAGCTGTAAATCTTTTGTTTTACTTTTGTTGTTGTAGGTCTTTTGAAAGGGTTTTTCAAATGAAGAGTGAAATATATTTGGAAATGAATATATGGTTTTAAAGCTGATATGTAATTTTATCTTTTTTGTTTTAGGCTGGAAGTTACGATGCCTGTCTACAGCACCTTGCCTGCCTACAAGATGTAAACAAAGATGATTATAAAATAATTTTGAATACAGCAGTGGCTGAGTTTTTTAAAAATAACCAAACTACAACAGATAGTTTGAGACAAACACTTAACCAGCTGAAGAATCAGGTGATATACAAATGAATTTAGCTGTAAAAATACGGTGGTATTTTCTCAATTTTGCAATAGAAATACTTAAGGAAAATTAATGTGACATGTCTGATATTGATAGCACAGTTTCTAATGTATCTAAAGCACCTCCTGGCATTAGTTTTATTTGTATGAAATTATTATTCCAGGAAATAAGAGGTATGTTGTATAACTTTAGTTTCTATTGGTTTTTGGGGTTTTTTTTTTAGATTTTATTTATTTGACAAAGCACAAGCAGAGGGAGTGGCAAACTAAACCAAACTTTTATTTTCTGGCTGAGGTATACCTTTTCAGTTTTTTAAATCTCCTGACAGGAAAAACGGAGATCATTTCAGAATTTTTCTAATAGTTGGTTTATTAGAATTAAATGCCTCTCTTAAAATAATTTAAATTCTTGGCCTGACATGAATAATCTATACAGAAAATCCTTAAAATTAGCTTGAGGTAAAATTAGCAGAGGGTGAAACAAGGTCCCCTTGGAGCAGAGAGCCTGATGTGGGACTCAACCCCAGGACCCTGGATCATGACCTAAGCCGAAGGCAGACACTTAACCGATTGAGCCACCTAGGCACCCCTTCTATTATATTTTTAACTTGAACGGAATAGACTAATATACCAAATTTCAGTGAGCTTTGGAGTTTTGAGAAAAATTATATTAAAGTGGAAATAAATGAAAAGGCTTATTAGCTGCCGAGATTATCTTTTTTTTTATAACTCTAAAAGACCTGATTATAATATCAGATTGTTCTAGCATTTTGGATCAGGACATGATTAATTGATTAAATAGAAGATATTCTGATTTATGTATGGTTTGGAGCTTGTCTTGGTCATAACAGCAACATCACAGATTTAGAGCTTGGATAGTCCAGAGAGTTATTATTGTTAATTAATAACAATAATTATGATGATGATGATTAGGATCACATAGCAGACATTTATTGCTTATGATGGAACAAGATCCTGCTAAGAACCTTGTGTGCAGCATCTCATGTATTCTTCCCAGTAATCCTATGAAACAACTACTATAATTTTTCTCATTTTACAGAGGGAAAACTGAGGTACACATAACTTGTATAAATTGTCCAAAGACACAAAGCTCTTAAATGAAAAGAGCTCCATCAACTCAGTCCTGTTTGACTTTATGGCCTATTCTTCTGATTACTGCGTCATGCTGTAGACAGTTTTAAATTATCTCCCTCATAAGTGATACAGTTAGAAATAAGTCACCCCGGGAAGCCTGGGTGGCTCTGCAGTTTAGCACCACCTTCAGCCCAGGGCATGATCCTGGAGTTCTGGGATCGGGTCCCACGTTGGGCTTCCTGCATGGAGCCTGCTTCTCTCTCTGCCTGTGTCTCTACCCCTCTCTCTCTCTCTGTATGTGTCTCTCATGAGTAAATAGATAAAATCTTAAAAAAAAAAAAAAAAATAACTCACCCCTTCAGGCTCTTTGTAATTTTTTATAAGAATAAAGCTACTCTACAGTATCACCCTAAACATGGTGTAGTTAGAAATAGGTAACCTGTTCAGGCTCTTCCTAATTCTTTACAGGAATACTTTTTTTTTTCTTTTGTAAGATTTATTTATTTATTCATGACAGACATAGAGAGAGAGGCAGAGCTACAGGCAGAGGGAGAAGCAGGCTCCTGGCAGGGAGCCTGATGTGGAACTCGATTCTAGATCCCGGGATCATGACCTGAGCCAAAGGCAGGCGCTCAACCACTGAGCCACCCAGGCATCCCTACAGGAATACTTTTTCAACCCTATTACAATTCTTCAATGAGGGGATTCCTGGGTAGCTCAGAGGTTGAGCATCTACCTTTGGCTCAGGGCATGATCCCAGTCCCAGGATCGAGTCTCACTTCGGGCTCCCTGCAAGGAGCCTGCTTCCGTTTCTGCCTGTGTCTATGCCTCTCTCTGTGTATCTCTCATAAAAAAAATAAAATCTTTAAAACAAAAAACAATTCTTCAATGAAAATGAGAATAAGAGGAGTGCTTGGCTGGTTTAGTTAGTAGAGCATGCAACTCCTGATCTCTGGGTTGTGAGTTAAAGCCCCAAGTTAGGTGTAGAGACTTATTAAAGAGAAAATGAGAATAATACTCAATGTTTATCAAATACTTAATGTGATTCCAAATTCCATATTAACTGCTTTTTATGTTTTATCTCATAATCCTCACATTCAAATCCTGAGATAGGTGCTTGTTATCTCAGTTGTAAAACTGAGGTTTAGGGAGCCTAATAATTTTAATTACATAGGCTGGAAGAGGAGGAACAAGATTTGAACCAGACTTTCTGACTCTTTTTTTTTTTTTTAAGTAAACTCTACATGTAGGATTCGAACTCATGATCCCAAGATCAAGAGTTGCATGCTCTACAGACTGAGCCTCCCAGGCACCCTCAGACCTTCTGACCTGTGAGCCTGTTTTTGTAACTACCCCAGTCTTCACAAATTTATATGACTTCACATTTCATTATTTCTCTAGTCTTATTAACCGTGACTTTATCTGGAGCTCCAGAATCAAAGGAAAGATGATGTTTGTGGATATCTAGTACACATGTCCTATGACCCCATATACTGTGCCTTCCAGGGAACATTTATTTGGTCTTTGAGTACAAGTTCATCCTTAAAAACCTTTTCTAGGAAAAAAAAAAAAACTTTTCTAGAGTAAGAGATTCCTGCAAACTTCCTGTTAAGCAAAGAAAACTGCTTTTTGAAATGCTTTAACCAGCCTTTAGTCTTTTTTTTTCTTTTATTCTTAATAAGGCTGGTTCAGTAATTCCCCTCATACCACCCAAATCCCTATATTTCCTAGAAGTGTTTGTACCTGTGTTCCCTAGCTTTCTTTATTTTTTTTCCCCTAGCTTTCTTTAAATCACACTTCTGTTCAGAGTCATATCCTTGGCATAGTTACATAGCTTTATAATCTATTCCATTTTTCTTGATGTTTTATCTCATTTAACGAGTAGTTTTTGTTCTGGCTGGAGTACTTACTAGATGTTTTTGGTAAGTTGTAGAAATTGTGGTTGTTGGGACCCCTGGGTGACTCAGCAGTTGACTGTCTGCTTTTGGCTCAGGGCATGATCCCAGGGTACCAGGATCGAGTCCCGCATCGGGCTCCCTGCATGGAGCTTGCTTCTCCCTCTGCCTTTCTCTCTCTCTCTCTCTCTCTTCTCTCACTCTCTCTGTGTGTGTCTCTCATGAATAAATAAATAAATAAATCTTTTTTAAAAAAGGAAAAGAAAATGTGGTTGTTATTTATGTTATAAGCTCAACCATTTTTTTAAACCAAAATTCCTTAATTTGTCCCCTTTCTGGCTAATAATTAACCCTTTCTTAGCTCATTTTTTTTCTGTTACATTACTATGAAGAAGTATTGTCTTTCTTTGGAAATTGAGTTTTCTCTAAAGAGACTGTTTTTAGTGACTTGGTAAATGAAGATTATACAGAATGTGTAAACTCAAGGAGATGCAAGAGCTTGTGGTCTGAGAAGACCAATTGTTAATACTTGAGTACTCCTGTCAAGCTCACTGTGTAGACGACTGAAGTCTGCAGATGTCTGATTACAAATCAGCCTGTCATGGACCTTCCGGTTCCTTGCTGTAAGCCAAACCAAGGTTGTTAAGTTCGTCATCTATATCTAAGTCCCACTGCTTAATTTAGGGAAGTGTCAGCCTTAGAGTTGATTGCTTAATATTGCTCAATAATTTGTCCCAATCTTCGGTGGCCCCTGGGTGACAACGGTTGGGCATCCGACTCTTGTTTTGGCTCAGGTTGTGGTCAGGGGCTCAGAGCTCAGTGCCTTGCCTACTTCGGACTCTCTCCCTCGCCCTCTGCCCCTCCCCCCTGAGGTCCTTCTTGCTTACTCTTTCTCTTTCTTTCAGTCTCTTACTCTCAAGTAAGTCCTTAAGAAAATAATTTATTCTAATCACAGTAGTGGCAAAGAAAGATTACTTTTAATATAAATAGAATTCCAGTTTTGAGTGTTAAATGAAATTACAGAATGTTTGCAAAATTTTATTAAAATGCAAAGTATTGTGATTTTTTTTCCGGGATTAGATGTAAATGTTAGTTTTAGCAAAGCCTTTTTTTTATTTTATTTTTTTAGTTAGTGGGAACAAAAACCTGAGCTTAAGAAGAAAATCAGAAAATATACTTCCTAGCTGTAAAGTCTTCAGCAAGATAATTAAGCCCTTTGTGCTGGTCTCCTTATTTATAAAATGCAAACGATGATAATATCTATGTCCTAGAAGTATGATAAGGATTAAATGAGGTATTTTTTATAAAAGGTTTAATGTAGTAGGCCTGGCACATAGCTAAGTAGTTAGCTATTGTTTATTAATATTTATATTTTTAAAAAATTTTTATTTATTCATGAGAGACACAGAGGGAGAAGCAGATGCCCTGCAGGGAGCCCTATGCAGGACTCGATCCCAGGACCCCAGGATCATGACCTGAGCCAAAGGCAGATGCTCAACCACTGAGCCACCAGACCTCTAACATTTAAATTTTACTTTAGTTTTTACAAAATGGAATCCAGCTAATGTATACATAGTGCATAAAACAATGCATATGGGAAAGGTCTTTTGAGTTTTACCCATTCCCAGGGAGGCTAGAAGGTGAGGAACCAATTTGGAAGCCATGTTGGCAGTTAAAACATTGATGATATCTTCACAGTGGCAAGGAAGAGACTTATCTTGCCTTGTGCTAGGCACTACATAAAGTCCATGAAAATGTCTTACCTAATGGAATTTTATTATGAATAAAATAATTTTTAATATGTGAGAATAAAATCTAGAGGTCCTGTTAAAAATGTGGAAAAATTCAGAGTTGTTTCTATTTATTCATATAGATTCTTTCATTTTTGCTCTTTGTTTTCTTACTGTTGTGAGAACATATTCTTTGTTGATTGTTTCATAGGTCCACTCGGCTGTTGAAGAAATGGATGGATTAGATGATGTAGAGAACAGCATGTTGTATTACAATCAGGCAGTCATTCTTTATCATCTGCGGCAGTACACAGAAGCAATAGCAGTTGGTGAAAAGCTTTACCAGTTCATAGAACCTTTTGGTATGTTCTGTCAAAATTTTTCTGTCAAAAATTTCCCTATTTTCAGGGGACCTGGGTGGCTCAGTCAGTTAAGTCTGACTGAGCCTGACTCTTGATCTCAGCCCAGGTCTTGATCTCAGAGTTGTGAGATCAAACCTAAGTTGGGTGGGCATGGAACCTGCTTGGGATTCTATCTCTTCCTCTGCCCCTCTCCCACTATGAAAAAAGAATTCTGTATCTTCTCATACTTGCAATGGCCTCTGGTACTTTTACCTAATTAACCTAAATCAGGGAATTACTTGTTACTATTTATAAAAAAAGAAAAAAGCTATGTCAGATTTTCTTAATAGCCAGAAAAGATCTTAATAGCCAGAAAAAGATGTCATTTTTACATTACTTTTAGATGAACCTAGGTTTTCTTTCAGCATTTCCTCCTCACTCTATTTTTAAAAACAACTGTTAGAAATGATGTTTCTTGGGATGCCTGGGTGGCTCAGTGGTTGAGTGACTGCCTTTGGCTCAGGGCATGATCCCAGAGTCCCAGGATCGAGTCTCACATCGGGCTCTCTGCATGGAGCCTACTTCTTCCTCTGCCTATGTCTCTGCCTCTCTCTCTATCTCTTGTAAATAAATAAATAAAATCTTTTAAAAAATGATGTTTCTGATTGGAAAGATTTAGTGATTTTTGTCTGCTCTTTTTACACTACCTAGTGTACCCAATCTTGTTACTTGGGCAATGTATTAAGGAGTATTCGGGGATGTTAAGGGACAATTTTTTTTTTTTTTTTTTTTGGCCATTGCCTCACTGACATTTTTGTGGGTAATTATAGAATTATAGAATAGATAGTACAGACTATCTTAGCATTTTTTTATACCTTAATTAGCTTGCAGTTACTAGCCTTGAGTAAGTATAGTAAGAAAGGTGAAGGCAAAGGAACAAAGAGGGAGCAAATAAAGTAGCAAAGCCTGACTCAGGAAATGGTTGTTAGGGCTGTTTGTTTCCAACTCACAATCAGTCAGATTTCAGTTGTGATTCACATTTTTGTCTTTTTCTTACATTACTTTCTTTTGAATTTAAAACACTAATGCCAGTTCCTGATTTATAAATACCTGATTGCTGATTAGTCCCCACAGGACAAGAGGTAGAGTGTGATGGCACCTCTGTGGGGCTTTAGAAGAGTTACAGGATTGCCTTTGCTGTCAACTGGTTGAACAGCTGCTTACTATGGATCTAGGGAGGCATTTTTAAGATACTCCTCTTCGGTACTGTGGGTGTGGTGGCTGGGCAGATTGGGCAGGAGAAATACCAGTGGTGAAGATGGTATAAATTGTGACCTTTCACTATAAAGCTAGAAATCAGAATTCTACTTCTAGGATGACACAGATGTGTTTTTCTATAAAGCTGGGGGTTTAAAAAAAAAAAAAGCTGGGGTATTTGTTAGTTTTTTTGTTTTTAAAGTAATCTCTACACCTAAGTGGGGTTTGAATTTATGACCCCGAGATCAAAGTCACATACTCTACCAACTCAGCCAGCTGGGTCCCCCTACAAAGCTGGTCTTTAGGATTTCTGAAACAGTTCATCAAATCCTATTAATCTATATTGTGGCTGAGTATAGAATATAGCAACCAACTAAATAGAATTCAATTTTTTTTTTTTTATGATAGTCACACAGAGAGAGAGGCAGAGACATAGGCAGAGGGAGAAGCAGGCTCCATGCACCGAGAGCCCGACGTGGGATTCGATCCCGGGTCTCCAGGATCGCACCCTGGGCCAAAGGCAGGCGCTAAACTGCTGCGCCACCCAGGGATCCCCTAGAATTCAAATCCATTTTTCTTAGGGGGCGCCTGAGTGGCTCAGTGAGTTAAGCCTTTGGCACAGGTCATGATCCCAGGGCCCTGGGATAGAGCACCGTACCACACCGGCCTCCTGTTCAGTGGGGAGTCTGCCTCTCTCCATCTACCTCTTCCCCAGCTTATGCTCTCCCTCTCTCTCTGTCTCTCTAATAAATAAGTAAAATCTTAAAAAACATAAAACTTAGTCTTTGCTCTTTAGAACTTTTTGGGGAGGAGTGGTCTGGTATGTTTGCTTCACTTTGGATTATAACTTTTCTTTTCCTGTTTCTTTTCCCCCAGAAGAAAAATTTGCCCAGGCGGTGTGTTTTTTGCTTGTAGACCTTTATATATTAACCTATCAAGCTGAGAAAGCTTTGCATCTTCTTGCTGTCCTAGAAAAAATGATATCACAGGGTAACAATAACAAAAATGGGAAGAATGAGGTAAGTGTTCTGAGGTGATCAGATTAAAGTTTATGGTTAATATTTGGGGTTATTAAATATTTTAACAGCTTTATTGAAATATAGTTCACTATACAAAATGGTCAATATTGTTAATAATACCATAGGATTAGGGATCCCTGGGTGGCGCAGCGGTTTGGCGCCTGCCTTTGGCCCAGGGCGCGATCCTGGAGACCCGGGATCGAATCCCACGTCGGGCTTCCGGTGCATGGAGCCTGCTTCTCCCTCTGCCTGTGTCTCTGCCTCTCTCTCTCTGTGACTATCATAAATAAATAAAAATTAAAAAAAAAATAATTAAAAAAAAAATACCATAGGATTACATACTTGAAAGTGGCTAAGAGACATTGCGAAGGATAACTAGGAATGTAGCATATGATGTTGGTAGTGTTTATACCAGAGAAAGTTTTTAAGAAGGCACTGACATGGGGGCACCTGGGTGGCTCAGTTAAGTGTCTGCCTTCAGCTCAGGTCATGATCCCAGGGTCCTGGGTTGAGCCTCGCCTGCGTCAGGGTCCCTGCTCAGCGGAGAATCTGCTTCTTCCTCTCCCTCTGACCCTAGCCCACTCTTTTCTCTCTCTCTCTCTCTCTCAAATACATAAATACAAATCTTTAAAAAAGAAAAATGTGGACTTCAAAAGGTTAAAAAAGACAAAAAAGGGAACATGATCCGTTCTGGGTTTCAGAAAGATAATCTTGAGTTTTGCCTGAGTACGATCCATGCTTTTTAAACCTGGCGTATCATTATATTCAATGGGAGCTTCTCAAAAGTAGTTTCCTCCAAACAAAACAAAACAAATTAAGTTTCCTGTTACCCATTCCAGACTATTATACCTGAATCTCTGAGAGTGAGACCTGGGATTCTGTAGTTCGAAAATGCTTTCTAGATGATTCAGATTAGCTCCCTTGGAAATTACTGATTTAAATTATGGTAAAAAAAAAAAAAAAATATATATATATATATAATGGTAAAAAATATATATATTTAATTTTGGTTAACTTTGTTTTACCACTACAGACTGGTAATAACACCAACAAAGATGGATTTAATCATAAAGCTGAAAGTGGAGCCCTAATAGAAGCTGCAAAATCAAAGATACATCAGGTAGCATACACTCTAAGAGAGATTTTATTATCATGTATATTTACTAATAGTTATGAATGATAAAGAATGTGATAAATCGTTGAAAGAAGTAAATAATTCGAGGCATGTATGTTTGTTTAGCTTTGAAGTATTGTAATTTAAAAGCACATTTATTCTTCTGACTATATTTGCCTAAAATGATAATGCAGTATCTTTCAATTTCTTGATAAGAGATTCAGAGAAATGGGGATCCCTGGGTGGCGCAGCAGTTTGGCGCCTGCCTTTGGCCCAGGGCACGATCCTGGAGACCCGGGATCGAATCCCACGTCGGGCTCCCTGCATGGAGCCTGCTTCTCCCTCTGCCTGTGTCTCTGCCTCTCTCTCTCTCTCTCTGTGACTTTCATAAATAAATAAAAATAAAAATAAAAAAAAGAGATTCAGAGAAATGGTCTTGGGAATGTATTGGATGATAAAATCAGTTTGTAGACTATTAAAATTCTTTTTTTTTTTTTTTAAGATTTTACTTATTTATTCATGTGAGATACACAGAGAGAGGCACAGGCAGAGGGAGAAGCAGGCTCCATGCAGGGAGCCTGTTGTGGGATTCAATCCCAGGACTCCAGGATCATGCCCTGGGCTGAAGGCAGGCACTAAACCGCTGAGCCATCCAGGGGTCCCAAAATTCATTCTTAATTAGCCATGTGCAGATAAATATTAATAGGAATTATAGAATTACTGAATCACTATATTGTGCATTTAAAACTAATACTGAAAAAATAAATAAAACTAATACTGTACATTAATTATACTTGAATTAAAAATAAGTGAATTTGGGGGTTCGTCCCTGGGTGGCTCAGCGGTTTAGCACCTGCCTTCAGCCCAGGGTATGATCCTGGAGACCCGGGATCAAGTCCCGCGTCGGGCTCCCTGCATGGAGCCTGCTTCTCCCTCTGCCTGTGTCTCTGCCTCTCTCTCTCTCTGTGTCTCTCATGTATAAATAAATATTTAAAAAATAAATAAATAAATTTTTTAAAGCTTAAAGTTGTTAGGATTTTTGTGTGGAGCTTAAATATAAATTTTATTCTACCTCATTTTTTTTTTTTGTTTTTTAGATGTATTCTAAGAGTATAATAAAAATAGATTAAGATAATTTACAACATGGTTATACCAGGTACTGGCAAAAGCAGGTTGTAAATTATCTTCAGTCATGATCCTGGGATCCTGGGTTCGGAGTCCCACATTGGGCTTCCCACAGGGAGCTTGCTTCTCCTTCTTCCTATGTCTCTGCCTCTCTCTCTCTGGCTCTCATGAATAAATAAATAAAATCTTTTAAAAAATCCATCATAGGGCAGCCCCAGTGGCGCAGCAGTTTAACGCCGCCTGCAGCCCTGGGTGTGATCCTGGGGACCCTGGATCAAGTCCCACGTCAGGCTCCCTGCATGGAGTCTGCTTCTCCCTCTGCCTGTGCCTCTGCCTCTCTCTCTCTCTGTGTCTCTATGAATAAATAAAATCTTAAAAAAAAAATCCATCATAGTTCTCACATACTCACATTTTCCTTTGATAGTATAAAGTGAGAGCTTATATCCAAATGAAGTCCCTGAAAGCATGCAAAAGGGAAATCAAGTCAGTGATGAACACAGCTGGAAATGTAAGTTTATTTTTGAATTTTTTTTTTCAATTTGTAATTTTTATGTCCTAAAACTATCTTATTTGTACAATAAGTGTTTGTCAGTTTTAAATTATTTTAGTCTCTTATAGCGTATATTTACCACTAGATACAAACCTTGACATTGAGTTGTGAAGTGGTGATCATACTGTGTCTATAATTTAATACTTTCCTCACTTAAAATTAAACCAAGCATTTCTCCTTGGCGTATAGTCCTCAAAACCACCATTTTAAATACTTAGTATTCTGGGAGTAGTTTATCATAATTCATGTAAACATTTACTATTAGACACTTCAGGATTTTTTTAGTTTATACTCACAATATTTAGTAAAGATGAACAGTTCAGCTGTAGCCCAAACCTGCCCCTTTCCAGTGATCTTTGGCTTGACAATAACTTCAATTTGACTAAGTTAGACTATTTGAGATAAGCTTACTTCTTCTTTCCACTCCCTTTACCCCACTCCTCCACTGATACGTAATTTTTTAAGACTGTGAAAGGAAAAAACAGAATTGTGAACATTCTTGATGCTTTTAGGAAAACTGTTAACTTTAAGTATGAAGGCATTAAGAGATACAGTTTGTAATAGGAATAGTTCAGGAAAATTGACCCTCAAAATCCTAGACAGGATCCAGATTAATCCCTGGGTCAGTACTCAAGTGATTTTTGATGAAAACAAATTGTAAGCAAGGTCTGAGAGGGTAGACTTGAGGCTAAGAGGGAAAAGCCTAACTAGCCAGCCAACCATTATCAAAGCTTTTTTGAGACAAAGACATGATCCCTGCCTTAACAGAAGCCAGAGTCACACGGGAAAGAGAAACAGGAAAATAAATATTGTAATGCAGGGTAGTAGCAGTACCTAAATCAGGAGGTACAGAGCAAAGCAAAAGCCTGTAGCTAAGCTAAAGTGAATAAATGATGAGACCAGGATTCCTCATGTCCTCCTGGTTGGATGTTCAGTGTGCAAATCTATGTAGGCAAATGCATTCTAAATAGGAACTATACAGGTGATCCTCCACTAGGAGGATGCTTAGGGGAAGTGAAACATGATTTACCATCCAAAATCTGATTTTTGTCACAGGAAGATTAGCTCTCAAAAATAAGGCATTCTGTTAGGCAATACTTCTATCCATAGAATGACACCTTTTTTTTTTTTTTTTTTCCTATTTGGGAAAGCTTTGAATGATTGTTTGTATCCCTTTAGGTTCTAATGAAGGTGCATTTGTACCCTAAAAAATATGGGAGACTTCCAGTCTCTCATAGTCATTGAAATAAAGGGCCTAGTTAAATTGGTTTTCAGTTAGTAGTATAATAGGTGAAGACAGTCTTGTGTTCTTATATACTGTATGTATTTTTTTAGGCAGACTCTCTGATAAGTTTAATTTTTTTAGATTGTGAAAGCAAGGAAAAATTTTGAGACTATAGTTTTTTGCGATCACGACTTAAATGATTCATTTATGCTCTTCAGGACATGCCAGTATAGCAATATGATTATGATCTCTCATTAGGCATCTGAAAACAAAATATAAGCAACTTTCCTTTTCTTTACAGTCTGCACCCTCTCTGTTTCTTAAAAGCAATTTTGAGTACTTAAGAGGCAATTATCGAAAAGCTGTGAAGCTATTAAATAGTTCAAACATTGCTGAGCATCCAGGATTCATGAAAACAGGTAAAAGAAAACGTGAAATTCTGGTATTTTCTTCCTGTCTCTTCTGTCTTTTGTTGTTTCCTACAGTGCTCTTCAGTGTGATTTTTGCTAATTTTTTACATGTAATGTTTTATTCTGCTGCAGAAAAATCTTGAAATTTATTCTATTATTTCCATTTTATTTATTTTATAGATTTATTTATTTAGTGTGTGTGAACAGGGGTAAGGGGGCAGAAGGGGAGAGGGGGAGAGTAGCAAACTTCCTACTGAGCACAGAACCTGGGGCTCAGCCCATCCTATGCTATGACCTGAGCTAAGCCAAGAGTTGGATGCTTAACTGAGTCACCCAGGTGCCCATATTTGTTTTCCATTTTATAAGAAGCCTCACTTCTTTTACTTTTCTTTCCCCTCATTGTATTCATTTTCTTCTTTCATTCTTTAAGATTTTATTTGAGAGAGAGGGAGCATGAGCAGTGAGGAGGGAGAAGCAGACTCCACACTGAGCAGGGAGCCCAACATGGGACCCAGTCACAGGACTCTGGGATCATGACCTGAGCCGAAGGCAGATTCTTAACCAACTGAGCCAGCCAGGCACCCCTCATTTTATTTTTTAATACTAGCTTACAAATTAGATCCAAGACGTAAGGTACTTGGGCTTTTACTTTGTGAAATGAGACATTTTAAGAAAATGAGTTGATAATGTTTATACTTATCCCTTTTCTCCCATAAAGCTGTGAGCATCTGATGATTTTTTTTGCATATGATGATTTTTTAGACTATTAACTATGTCAAAAATATTTCAAAAAAAATATTTCTATAAAGTTAGGAAAATAATTATTATTTATTTTCTAATTAGAAAGTTTTAATGAGGGACACCAGGATGGCTCAGTCAGTTAAGCACCTGAATCTTGATTTTGGCTCAGATCATGATCTCAAGATAGTTGGATGGAGGCCTCCATTGGGCTCCACACTGGGTGTGGAGCCTGCTTAAGATTCTTTCTCCTCGGGGCAGCCCTGGTGGCTCAGCAGTTACCGCTGCCTTTAGCCCCAGGGCCTAATCCTAGAGACCCAGGATCGAGTCCCACGTCAGGCTCCCTGCATGGAGTCTGCTTCTCCCTCTGCCACTGTGTGTCTGCCTTTCCCTCTCTCTCTGTGTGTCTCTCATGAATAAATAAATAAAATCTTTAAAAATAAATAAATAAAAATTAATAAAAAAGAAAGAAGGTTTTTATTTATTTATTTTTAATAAGAAAGAAGGTTTTTAAAAATAAAAATTCATGAGAGATACAAAGAGAGGCTGAGACACAGGCCAGAGGGAGAAATAGGCTCCCTGTGGGGAGCCCAATGCGGGACTCAATCCCACAACCACCAGGCGTCCCAAGAAAGAGAGTTTTAATGGATTGCTTAATACTGGGACACCTGGGTGGCCTGGCAGTTGAGTGCCTGCCTTTGGTCCAGGGCGTAATCCTGGAGTTCCGGGATCGAGTCCTACATCAGGCTCCCTTCATGGAGCCTGCTTCTGCCTGTGCCTCTCTCTCTCTCTCTCTCTCTCTCTGTCTCCCATGAATAAATAAATAAAATATTTTAAAAAAAAATTGCTTAATACTGTTGGAAAAACAAAAGGTAAAATTTGGGGCTTTAAGTTCATATCATTGCTATTTTTTGGAGAGAAAGGAGGAAAATCCATTTATTCAAGAAATGAAGTAAAACTATTGAAAATGCTTTACACCAAGTTTAAAATGCAAAGGATGGAAGTGCCTGGGTGGTTCAGTTGGCTATGCGTCTGACTCTTGGTTTTGGCTCAGGTAATGGTATCAGTGTCGTGAGTTTGAGCCCCATGTGGTACTCTGTGCTCAGAAAGGAGTCTGCTTAGACTTCTTTTCACCTCTCCTCCCCCGCTTATGTGCCTGCCCTCTCTCTTTCATTCATTCATTAATAAATAAATAAATAAATAAACTCTTAAAATACAAAGAATGAATAATTTTTTGGGTAATTTTTATTTTAGATTCTATTCAGATACAAAGAACACACTTGCAGACATACCCACTGCCCCCAGCCCCTTTGCCTGTTCTGTTCACTGGGGTTGTAAAAATGGAGAAAAGCAGTTTGTTCCACTATAGTTAACTTGGATATTCTGTCTGAGTACCCATTTTTAATCCTGCTGAATTTTCATTTTTGCTGTTTTTATTGTCATAATTTCCCCTCAGAGGCCCATAATACCCAAACACTGAAATGATCTTCCATGCTAAAAATTCAGTATCCTTGAGAAAATTTTGCTTAGGACTGTCTTGATGCAGTTTTCAGAATCAATATTGTCAAGCTCTACAGTGGAGTGAGGAGCAGGACATGCAGTTGACTAGTCACCAGTTAAGATGATCTAACGGGGGATCCCTGGGTGGCGCAGCGGTTTAGCGCTTGCCTTTGGCCCAGGGCGCAATCCTGGAGACCCGGGATCTAATCCCACGTTGGGCTCCCAGTGCATGGAGCCTGCTTCTCCCTCTGCCTGTGTCTCTGCCTCTCTCTCTCTCTCTCTCTGTGTGTGACTGTCAAAAATAAATAAAAATTTAAAAAAAAATGATCTAACGGGAGATTTTTATACAGTAGTTATATATTTTATATATTGATATTTTTATAGTTATTAATTTTAAAATATTTGTTCTCATATGTAAAATTTAGTTTTTGCTGTTGATAAAATACACTTATTAGAGAAGCTCTGGGAATAGAATGTTTCTTAAATTGTTGACAGTGCCACAACCAGAGGCAGCCTCCTTTATGTTAGTATATTTCTTACTATCTTGCCCTGAAGCCTAGTTTTGGTCTTTTTTAAAAATCATTGCTCAATTTTAAAGCACATAAGAAGAAAATTAGATTTTAGTATTAAGCTTTGGATATCCTGAGGTTTTTTTTACGACTTTATTTATTTATTCATGAGAGAGACAGCAAGGCAGAGACGTAGGCAGAGGGAGAAGCAAGCTCCATACAGGGAGCCTGATGTGGGACCCCATCCCGGGACCATGCCTTGAGCCAGAGGCAGTTGCTCAACCACTGAGCCACCCAGACATCCTGGATAACCTGAGTCTTAATTTTGTCAGTCTAGTCCAGCATTTTATATCATTGAGGAAAAGATGGACTCTCATTAGGTTCTTTTGGAGTATTTGAGAAGCAGTTTAGAAGAAGAAAACTAAAGCTTGGATTGTTTTCATTATTCCATAAGAAAGCCCAGAGAAACGAAGTGTTGAAATATACAATCATAAAAGCAGCTAAAGGAAACTTGAATATTTTAATTTTGGGGGATTGATTAAATATTATTCAAAATGCAAGAACCATAGAGTTTAGAAAAGATGACTAAACCACATAATCATGTAAAATTTTTTTTATCATTAAACACACACACACTGAAGCAGGTCACAAGACAGATCACACGCTGGCATTGGAAATATTTGAAACAGATGTGACAGAAGATTTCTGTAACATACTAACAGGTAACCAATAGGAAAAACATCTGTAACCAAATTAAAAAATAGATAAAGAGAAGAAAGAAGCAGTGTGTACATTACAGGATAAGAAGTACAAATGCCCAATAAGCATGAGAAGATAGCTGCTCAGCCATAGTAGTATTTATTTTTTTAAAGATTTTATTTATTTATTCATGGCAGAGAGAGAGAGGCAGAGACACAGGCCGAGGGAGAAGCAGGCTCCATGCAGGGAACCTGACATGGGACTCGATCCCGGGTCTCCAGGATCACACCCCAGGCTGAAGGTGGCGCTAAACCGCTGAGCCACCTGGGCTGCCCCATAGTAGTATTTTAAAAAGTGTGAAAAAAAATAATAAATAAATAAAATAAAGAAGTGTGAACTGGGCAGCCCCGGTGGCGCAGCAGTTTAACGCCGCCTGCAGCCCAGGGCATGATCCTGGAGACCCTGGATCGAGTCCCACATCAGGCTCTCTGTATGATGCCTGCTTCTCCCTCTTCCTGTGTCTCTGCCTCTCTCTGTGTGTCTCTATGAATAAATAAATAAAATCTTAAAAAAAAAAGGGTTAAAAAATAAAGAAAGAAGTGTGAACTGAAAGAGCAGTGGAGACTTTAACAAGCAAAAGCAGGAATTTATGTATTCTGTTTTATGCATTCCTGCTACTCATTAATATGTTGCCATAGTAAATGTGTCCATATATACTTATTCTGTCCAGTTTCTACATAATACTTTTTGTGGACAAAATACATATAATGTTACTAAGAAGTATTTTTTGTCCTTTGCACTATTGTATCATTTGCCTATTATTAAAAATTAAATCAGGGATCCCTGGGTGGCGCAGCGGTTTGGCGCCTGCCTTTGGCCCAGGGCGCTATCCTGGAGACTCGGGATCAAATCCCATGTCGGGCTCCCAGCGCATGGAGCCTGCTTCTCCCTCTGCCTATGTCTCTGCCTCTCTCTCTCTCTCTCTGTGACTATCATAAATAAATAAAAATTAAAAAAATATTTAAAAAAAATTAAATCAGAAAAAGGATTAAGCAGGGTAACCAAATCAATGGGTAGGCTTGGTTTATCACCTAAAACAAAGGATTTTAAAAGTAAAGGAGCTTACAGAATTTTCGCATGTCCCAAATTTCAGGTGCCTTGTAAACTTTTCTATAAGGATTAGGTGGAATTGCTGTTTCATTGCCAGTTCTTGTGTGGCATGTATCAACAGTAAGATTTTAGGATAGATTTGTTTGTGTTTTTTTTTTTTTTCAGGTGAATGCTTGAGATGCATGTTCTGGAATAATCTTGGTTGCATTCATTTTGCCATGAGCAAGCACAATCTGGGAATTTTCTACTTTAAAAAGGCTTTACAGGAGAATGACAATGTTTGTGCACAGCTCAGTGCAGGCAGCACTGATCCAGGTGAGCCCATTGCTGGGGGATAGTCATATTTTTCTACTAGAGGAGAGCACGATATTAAAGAGCAAGCAACCGAGCACTGAGTGATATATAAAATTGTTGAATCACTGTATTGTATTGTATACCTAAAACTAATATAATATGGTACATAAATTATACTAGAATTTAAAAAGTAATTTTTTCTAAAAGAATAAATAGGTAGATAGTGATCAAGTGTGCGGTCAAAATGCATCCGTATGTGCCTACCTACAGTTAACATTGACCCTGATCAACAGATTTATTCGGGAAAAAAAAAACAAAAACAGGTTTATTCGAGATTTTTAGTAAATAATTGCTACTTCAAATATTAAGGAAATTTAAATTACATTCACTTTTTCATGGACTTGAAAATCAGTAATCACATATGGTAATGTTATACAGCAAAATATGTTGCTAAGATTTCTCGACTGTGCTAAACTTTTTTTGTTTTGTTTTGGTTTTCTTTTTTCTGAGTAAACTATAAGCCCACCCTAGGGCTTGAACCATGACCCTGAAATTCGCATGCTCTACAGACTGAACCAGCTGGGCACCCCTAGTTTTATTATAGCTTCTTTCCAAGGTTTCACTATAGGCAGCACCTGTCAATCTTTTTTTTCTTTTTTTTGCACCTGACAATCTTTGAGCAAATACCTAAAGTCTATAACTTTATTTATTATTCATATGGTATGGATTCTTGACCTGGAATGCTTAAAAGCAATTATTTAGCTTTTTTAAATTAAAAAAAAAACAAACTGATGAAAAATGCATCCAGAATCATAAGTAGTCTTATTTTATTATAGACTGTGAAACTTTGAATAAGCAAGTGAACCATAGTCATTGTGGGTATTGGTATATTAATTTTTATTTTCATAGTAAAGTTCCCTGAACCCTCACTAACATTAGCTAAATACTTCTGGCTAAGGCAGCCCAGATGGCCCAGCGGTTTAGTGCCGCCTTCAGCCCAAGGTGTGATCCTGGAGACCTGGGATCGAGTCCCACGTCGGGCTCCCTGCATGGAGCCTGCTTCTCCCTCTGCCTGTGTCTCTGCCTCTCTCTCTCTCTCTCTCTCTCATGAATAAATAAATAAAAATCTTTAAAAAAAATACTTCTGGCTAAGAAAAGCACATGACATAAAATGGTTAACTGAAAATAAAGTTTAAAAAAAGTGCAGTCTTCTAAAAAGGTGGAAAGATGGTTTAAGATTCATAGGAGTCAGTGGGTCCTCTCTCTCTTTGCCTTTCTGGACCATTGTTGCCTGCCTGAGGAGCTAGCAAATGAGAAGAGACATCTCTGGCCACACTAGCACAGACAACTGAGATGACTCTGGAGAATATTTGTGAGGTTGGGGATGAAGGTCTTCACTGGTCAAGAGCTATTACAACTTCACACTGGGGTCATTGGTATTAAGTAAGATAGTATTTAAGTATTTAGTGGAATAAATGTTTTCAGTGTAACTGTTACTTTAATGATTTTCTTTCTTACCTAATTTGTATCATTAGGCAAAAAATTTTCAGGACGACCTATGTGTACATTACTAACCAACAAGAGGTATGAGTTGCTGTATAACTGTGGCATTCAGCTTCTTCACATTGGAAGACCTCTTGCTGCCTTTGAGTGTCTGATTGAAGCTGTTCAGGTTTATCATGCAAATCCACGCCTTTGGCTAAGGCTGGCTGAATGCTGCATTGCTGCAAATAAAGGGGTGAGTGTTCCTTGGGTATCTTTTTGAACCTATACTGTGCCCCCAACTTGTTACATAGCAAAAAATATTTGGAAACATACAAGACTTCATTCCCTTTTTAATTCAGGGAATTTATAAACCGTTCTTTAAAGGTTGGACAAAGGTTTAGTTTCTTTTTTTTTTTTTTTTTTTTATAAATTAATTTTTATTGGTGTTCAATTTACCAACATACAGAATAACACCCAGTGCTCATCCCGTCAAGTGTACCCCTCAGTGCCCGTCACCCATTCACCCCCACCCCCCGCCCTCCTCCCCCTCCACCACCCCTAGTTCATTTCCCAGAGTTAGAAGTCTTTATGTTCTGTCTCCCTTTCTGATATTTCTCACACATTTCCTCTCCCTTCCCTTATATTCCCTTTCACTATTATTCATATTCCCCAAATGAATGAGAACATACACTGTTTGTCCTTCTCCGGTTACTATGGCCAAGTTCAAAAAGGGTGTTGCCTGAGTTCTCCTCTGGGATTTTGATGGAATCTTGTCTCACATTTAGATCTTTCATCTATTTTGAGTTTATCTTTGTGTATGGTGCAAGAGAGTGGTCCAGTTTCATTCTTCTGCATGTGGATGTCCAATTTTCCCAGCACCATTTATTGAAGAGAGTGTCTTTCTTCCAGTGGATCGTCTTTCCTCCTTTATCGTATATTAGTTGACCATAAAGTTCAGGGTCCACTTCTGGGTTCTCTGTTCTGTTCCATTGATCTATGTGTCTGTTTTTGTGCCAGTACCACACTGTCTTGATGAACACAGCTTTGTAGTACAACCTGAAATCTGGCATTGTGATGCCCCCAGATACGGTTTTCTTTTTTAAAATTCCCCTGGCTGTTTGGGGTCTTTTCTGATTCCACACAAATCTTAAAATAATTTGTTCTAAGTCTCTGAAGAAAGTCCATGGTATTTTGATAGGGATTGCATTATACGTGTAAATTGCCCTGGGTAACATTGACATTTTCACAATATTAATTCAGCCAATCCATGAGCATGGAATATTTTTCCATCTCTTTGTGTCTTCCTCAATTTCTTTCAGAAGTGTTCTATAGTTTTTAGGGTATATTTTGAGACCCATTTGAATGGTAAATGGTTCTCCAACCTTTTATTTTCAGGTTGTAGGTGTCCTTCTGTCTAAAATGAGTCTCTTGTAGACAGCAAATAGATGGGTCCTGCTTTTTTATCCAGTCTGAAACCCTGCGCCTTTTGATGGGGTCATTAAGCCCGTTCACGTTCAGAGTTACTATTGACAGATATGAGTTTAGTGTCATCATGATATCTATTTAGTCCTTGTTTTTGTGGATTGTTCCACTGAACTTCTTCTTAAAGGGGAGTTTTAAGAGTCCCCCTTAAAATTTCTTGCAGAGCTGGTTTGGAGGTCACATATTCTTTCAGTTCCTGCCTGTCTTGGAAGCTCTTTATCTCTCCTTCCATTTTGAATGAGAGCCTTGCTGGATAAAGTATTCTTGGTTGCATGTTCTTCTCATTTAGGACCCTGAATATATCCTGCCAGCCCTTTCTGGCCTGCCAGGTCTCTTTGGAGAGGTCTGCTGTTACCCTAATACTCCTCCCCATAAAAGTCAGGGATTTCTTGTCTCTTGCTGCTTTAAGGATCTTCTCTTTATCTTTGGAATTTGCAAGCTTCACTATTAAATGTCGAGGTGTTGAACGGTTTTTATTGATTTTAGGGGGGGATCTCTCTATTTCCTGGATCTGAATGCCTGTTTCCCTTCCCAGATTGGGAAAGTTTTCAGCTAGGATTTGTTCAAATACATATTCTGGCCCTCTGTCCCTTTCGGCGCCCTCGGGAACCCCAATTAAACGTAGGTTTTTCTTCCTTAGAGTGTCATTTATTTCCCTTAATCTGTCTTCATGGTCCCTTAATTGATTGTCTCTTTTTTCCTCAGTTTCCCTCTTTGCCATTAACTTGTCTTCTATGTCACTCACTCGTTCTTCCACCTCGTTAACCCTCGTCGTTAGGACTTCTAGTTTGGATTGCATCTCATTCAATTGATTTTTAATTTCTGCCTGATTGGATCTAAATTCTGCAGTCATGAAGTCTCGTGAGTCTTTAATGCTTTTTTCTAGAGCCACCAGTAGCTGTAGAATAGTGCTTCTGAATTGGCTTTCTGACATTGAAGTGTAATCCAGATTTTGTAACTCTGTGGGAGAGAGGGCTGTTTCTGATTCTTTCTTTTGAGGTGAGGTTTTCCTTCTAGTCATTTTGCTCAGTGCAGAGTGGCCAAAAACAAGTTGTATTGGAACACGGGGGAGTATCACTGGTCCGTCCAGCTGGTCTTCTGGGGGAGGGGCCTGCTGTGCTGATTTTCAGGTGTTAGCACTTGGGGGAGCTGCTCTGCCCCTGCCTGCTGCCGGGCTCAGCGGGGGTTGTTTACCCCCGTGGGGCCCCAGGAGGAACAGCCGCAGTTGCTATGGCAACTCTGGAAGCCTGGATTCAGCCTCCGCAGGAACTACGGGGCTCGGGGCTCTCGGTTCTCCGTCCGCAGGGCCTGGAGGCTCCGGGGCGGGGCCGCTGATCTGCTCAGCTCGGGGCAGGAGCGTCCTTGCTGTCCTGGGCCCTCCCGGCCTCTGCCTGTCCCGGGGGAGGCCGGATCCTGGGCTGTGTCCCGGCGCCCTGTGCTCCGGGGCCTGCGCTGTGGGATTCGCGCTCCCGCCCCGCAGCCCCCTCCGCGAGCCGCCGCCCGAGCCCCTCCGAGCTGCTCCGGCCCCGCCGTGCGCGCTGCAGCCCTTAGGGAGCTCGGCGCACTCTCCCGGGGCGCAGGTGTCTGTTAGTGTCCCCGGGAGCCCGAGGGCATCCCCGCCCTCCTGGGTCCTGCTCCACCTCCCTGCGGGCCCCTTTCCGCCCGCCCGGGAAGGTTGGTGCAGCTCCTGCTCCTCCGGGACGGGGCTCTCCTGTCCTGGGGACACTCGCCCCGGCCCTAGCCCGGCTCCTCGCGGGGCCCCTCCCCCTCGGAGGCCTTTTGTTTCTTTATTTCTTTTTCCCCGTCTTCCTACCTTGATAGAAGCGCGAACTCTTCTCACTGTAGCGTTCCAGCTGGTCTCTCTTTACATCTCAGGCCGAATTCGTAAATTTTCAGGATTGTTTGAAGGTTATCTAGGTAATTTGGTGGGGACAGGCGATTTGGGGACCCTGCTCTTCCGCCATCTTGCCCCTCCCTCCTCAAAGGTTTAGTTTCTTAAAGTCATTTGTTAACGTTCTGGTTCAAAGTATAGCAGCCTGTATCAGCAGTCAGATTAAAGAGGTGAAGCCAATGAGAGGGTTGTGCCTGCTGGAATAGAGGTCTGCTAGCTGCTATTGGCTCCTGGGGCAGGGGCCATATCATCTATCTGCTGGTGTGAGTGGTACATGCCACAGATAGTTAGAGAAGGACTGATACTAACACCATGAATGTGGAAAGAACTGTATGACACTGCATTTCCTTCAGTGCCTAGGCACTTTACTTTTGATTCAGTGAATGGTTCAGGATTATCCGGCTGTCTCTCTCACACCTTTGTCCACAATGACTGTGAGAAATAGGCCAGTTTACATGGGTGTCCTTGCATATGATATCTGCATGTGATGGTTGGTGGAAGCCTTGGGAATCTCAAGTGAGGAGTGGTCAGTGAAGGGTAGGAGACAGGTTGTATCAGAATTACCAGATGCCTGTATTACCCCGTTTCCTGCCCACCCCCCACCCTTGCTGCACCTTTGGCCATGTAGAGATTGGGAGGTATGGCACCTAAGATTTGCCTGCCATAGATGATATAGATGTTTATGCACTCCTACTGCTGAACAGCACTTCCTGAGAAACAGCTGCAAAAACTACCATTGAGAAGTATGTTTGCCTGGTAGTTTTCAGACGATACTTAAAAGTAGTTTATGATTTGGGTATACCACTAGGGAAAGAGATAAGTGGTATCTTTGAAGGGCTTTAATGATTTATTTAGTTGTAATTTGCCTTTTAAAAGACAACTTTCTTGGGGTGCCTGTGTGGCTCAGTGGTTGACCATCTGCCTTCCGCTCAGGTCATGTTCCCAAGGTCCTTGGATCGAGTTCTGCATCGGACGGACTCCCCAGGAGGCCTGCTTCTTCTGCCTATGTCTCTGCCTCACTCTCTGACTCTCTCATGAATAATAAATAAAATCTTTTTTAAAAAGTAAAAGAAAACTTTCTTATTGGATAATTCTTAAATTAACTGACAGTTCTAGGGAGTATTTATACTTTTTTTAAAAATAAGAACTCTAGGGCAGCCCCGGTGGCACAGCGGTTTAGCGCCACCTGCAGCCCAGGGCGTGATCTGGAGACCCGGGATGGAGTCCCACGTCAGGCTCCCTGCATGGAGCCTGCTTCTCCCTCTGCCTGTGTCTCTGCCTCTCTCTCTGCATCTCTATGAATAAATAAATAAAATCTTTAAAAAATAAAAGAATAAAAATAAGAACTCTAGAAATCGCTTATTCTCTTTAATCCATTCATGAATTTAAGTGTTGGAGGCATCTCATTTGAATAGTTACTGGAAACCAGGGGATTATTATATCTTCCAAAGAGTAGAGAAATACAGTAAGGTTTTTAATATTTCTTTTTAAAATACTTATTTTTAGAAATAGTACTTTTAGGATTGTCTTCATTCTGTGGATTTTATTATGAACCCCCCCCCCCCCGCCCCATTTTCTTCTCCAGAATTCTAAATTTCTAATTTTTTAAAAATGGTAGGGGTGCCCTGGATGGCTCAGTTGGTTGAATATCCAACTCTTGGTTTCTGCCTACATCATATCAGGGTCATGGGATCAAGCCCAGCCTAAGGGGTCTGCACTCAGCCGGGAGTCTGCTTGGGATTCTCCGTCCTCCTGCTCACATGCAATCTCCCTCTCTCTCAAATAAATAAAAAAAAAATTTTTTTTTTAAATGGTAGGGCAGCCCAGGTGGTTCAGCGGTTTACTGCCACCTTCAGTCCAGGGCATGATCCTGGAGACCCAGGATCGAGTCCTACATCAGGCTCCCTGCATGGAGCCTGCTTCTCCCTCTGCCTGTGTCTGTGCCTCTCTCTCTCTCTCTCTCTCTCTCTCTCTCTCTCTCTCTCCCTCCCTCCCTCCCTCCCTCCCTCTCTCTCTCTGTCTCTCATGAATAAAATCTTTAAAAAAAATGGTAAAGATGACTTGATTGCCATAATTTGATGAATCTCAGAATATTCAATTTGTGCCACAAATAAGGAATTTTGTCAGCTTTTGTCTATGCTTCTCCTTCTAAAAAGGATCTGAAGTGCCCTAAAAGACAGTAAAAAACAACCCCCAAAACACTCTTGAATAAAACCAGAAAGCAAAATCCCAATTGCAGATATTATATTGTAGATTATATTATAAACTCCAAATAAAATTCCATAAAATGTATATCGTCAATAAAGAAGAAATACTGAACAAAGCAGTTTGCACCTTCAGAAATAACATTTTTGAATAAAAAGAACCAACTTAAGTTTTAAGTTTGTGATGCTAAGGAGATGATTTATGTCCTGTTTATCTGGCACATTGCTTCAGACTGCTTTTGGCAAAAGTAGGGCTTATGCTTCTTTGGCTAAGTTAATATATGAGAGAAGATCTGCTAATCATTAAACAGACAATTGTAGGGAGCATATTTAAGCAATTTAAGGGAAGGCTACTGAAATTCAGATATGTTGAGTGCTATTTGTTATGGTACTGTAAAGTAATATTTTAATTACAATTCTATATCATGACTAATCTGACACACTTTTTGCCTATTGGTGTATTATTGGAAGTATACTTTATTATTGTGGATTTTTAGTTCCATCCCATCTTTGTTTTCATCTGTCGCATCTTTAAATCTAGCCATCTGATCAGCTTGTGTTACCTTAAGGATCAGGAAAGAATATATGGATGAATCCTTATAAATTTATTACCACCACTAGGAAAAGAAGTCAGAATGGAAGTCCCTCCCAGTAATGGTTCAGAATATCCATTTTCTATAATTTTTCATTAATATTGCTTGGCTGCCTCCTCAGCACAAAATTTCCAATCAGAGGGGCACCTGGGTGGCTCAGTGGATTAAGTGTCCAGCTCTTGGTTTCTCCTCAGGTCGTGATCTCACAGTGGTAGGATCAAGCCCCGAGTTGTGCTTTGTGCTCAGTGTGGAGTCTGCTTCAGATTCTCTTTCCTTCTCCCTCTCTCTCAAATAAATAAAATATTTTTAAAATTCTTCCAAACAGAGCAGTTTTGTATTTTTTAAGCATATTGTATTTTTTAGACATTATGTAATATTTTCTGTTTAAAATGAATATGCAAGTGAACCCTTGTTTTATTAGAAGTCATAAACAGAAGTATAACCATAATAAACTTACAGTAGGAGCAATAAGTAACAGTACAGAAACATTGTGCTTAGAGGACTTTTTTGCAGGGCAGAGTTTAGCTCTGCAAGTTCGTATGGATTGGCTCCAGTTTATTCCTGCATTATGAGAATCTGCCTGACTATAAAATGACAGTTGGGAATCCACTTGCAGACAATTCCAAGACTTTGAGTGAAAGGGAAGATAAAGGCAGTTTGGATACTATCAAGTTCCCATAGTAAGATGATGCATCTTAGTGAAATATCCCAAAATACTATATATATGTAAGGAACTTTACATTCCATAAAATGTATATTTTCAGTTTAATGTTTTCAGGGCTTTAAGGATTTTAATTTCCTAGAAGGCAAGAATTGTGCCCATGTTAATTTTAACATATAGCTTGTCTGAATTTATAAGTTGTTGACCATTTAATGTTTTCAATAAGAAGGACAAGATTGGGGCGCCTGGGTGGCTCAGTACGGTGTCTACCTTTGGTTTGGATCGTGATCTCAGGGTCCTGAGATCACGGCCCCATGTTGGCCTCCCTGCTCAGCAGGGAGTCTGCTTCTTTCTCTGCCCCTACCTACCTCATGTTTGCTCACTAGCTCACTCTCTCTCAAATAAATAAAAAAAGGAGAAGAACAAGGTATGTGTTTCAGAAGGCAGAGTTGCTTCCCTTTTTCGCTGAGTTTTTGTGGCTCTCTTATGTTTCCTTACTCTGATGTCAAAGTGCCCTTAATATGCAGCATGGTCCCTGGATGTAGAATATTTTTTTTTAAGATTTTATTTTTTTTAAGATTATTTATTTATTCATAGAGACACAGAGAGAGAGAGGCAGAGACACAGGCAGAGGGAGAAGCAGGCTCCATGCAGAGGGCCTGACATGGGACTCGATCCAGGGTCTCCAGGATCACATCCTGGGCTGCAGGCAGCGCTAAACTGCTGCGCCACCGGGGCTGCCCCATGTATAATACTCTAAATAAATCATTCTAAATAAATGCTTGAGTCAATCTTGATTTGCCTTTTTTCCTTAGCATAACCTTAAACGTGACACCTGGGTGGCTCAGCGGTTGAGCGTCTGCCTTCACTTCAGGATGTGATCCCGGAGTTCCAGGATTGAATCCCGCATCAAGCTCCTGCATGGAGTCTACTTCTGCTCCCTCTGCCTGTATCTCTGCCCTCTCTCTGTGTCTCATGAATAAAGAAATACAATCTTAAAAAAAAAAATAACCTCAAACTTCATAATACAATATAGCATGCATCACAGACATCCAGCTCTGTGTACTAATTAACTACTCCTCTTCAATACAGAACCTATTTTCCTTTATCACCAAAACCCCACATTGATGGATCTTAGAAACTTCCTTGGTTTAACTGGAGAAATATTAGATCATTTTTCACATCCTGTCTTGTAATTGCATTAAATTAATTGGAAATCATTTGTATTTTGTAGACTGCTGAACAAGAAACTAAAGGCCTTCCAAGTAAGAAAGGAATTGTACAGTCTATTGTTGGTCAAGGCTATCATCGTAAAATAGTTTTGGCATCACAGTCCATACAGAATACTGTATATAAGTAAGTATTTTGCAAAGAGAAAATATAGATACTTCATATTGTCTCACATAATGTTATTTTTGTATGAGAACATACTTAAGGGATCCCTGGGTGGCGCAGCGGTTTAGCGCCTGCCTTTGGCCCAGGGCACAATCCTGGAGACCTGGGATCGAATCCCACATCAGGCTCCCGGTGCATGGAGCCTGCTTCTCCCTCTGCCTATGTCTGCCTCTCTCTCTCTCTCTCTCTCTCTCTCTCTCTCTCTCTCTCTCTCTGTGACTATCATAAATAAATAAAAATTAAAAAAAAAAGAAAAGAAATTTAAGAACATACTTAAGACTTACCATTTTATAGGAGAAACCACTTTGTAACTGACTTTTATTGCTGCTTCTAAAAATAGATGCCCATAAAAAAAAAAAATAGATGCCCATATATATGTTCGCAGTGAATATTACCTGACATAGGATTTCAGTTTATTACATCTGTGCTGAAACTGTTGATGCCCTAAGAGACCCAGCTCTATTCAGTACCATTATTCAAAATGTCCAGAAGAGGGCATCTTGATGTTTCCTTTGTATGCAGTTTATCACTGATGCTTTTCATTTAGGTATTTTCTTTCTTTTTTTTTTTTTTTAAGATTTATTTATTCATGAGAGGCAGAGACATAGGCAGAGGGAGAAGTAGGCTCCCTGCAGGGAACCCAGTGTGGGACTCCATCCTGGATCCTGGGATCATGCCCTAAGCCTAAGGCTGACCCTCAACCCCTGAGCCACCCAGGTGTCCTTCATTTATGTATTTTCTTATAGTCCCTAAAGCTAATTCGTAGTATTTGGAGAGAACGGTACTAATCCGTAAAAGTAACCAAAGCATTAAAAAGCTGTCACATGTAAACTTTCAGTTGAATAATTTTTAAGGGGCAGCCCTGGTGGCTCAGTGGTTTAGCGCCGCCTTCAGCCCAGGGTGTGATCCTGGAGACCTGGGATAGATTTCCACGTCGGGCTCCCTGCATGAAGCCTGCTTCTCCCTCTGCCTCTGTCTCTGCCTCTCTGTCTCTCCCTATGTCTCTCATGAATAAATAAATAAAATATTTTTTAAAAAAATGAATAACTTAAGTACGAACATCTTCATCTTGTATAAAGATTATAATTTAGAGTTGCTATTATTTCTAAAGTAGTAGGCTTTGTAAAAAATTTGCTGAATTTTTTTTCTTTTCCAAAAAATAAAATTGTTATAATAAAAGTTTCCCCAAAGTTTTAAAATAGTATCTGGCACACAATATTTTGGTCTTAATTTATAATGCAGACTTTTTTTTCAAGACTTTAAGGTAAAGAATCATTTCCTACAATTTCAAAATTATTACTACTTTCCGGGACGCCTGGGTGGCTCAGCAGTTGGCTCAGGGTGTGATCCTGGGATCTGGGATTGAGTCCCACATCAGGCTCCTTCTGGGGAGCCTGCTTTTGCCTCCTGTGTCTCTGCCTTTCTCTCTCTCTCTCTCTCTCTCTCTCTCTCTCTCTCTCTCTCTCTCTCTCATGAATGAATAAATAAATAAATAAATAAAATCTTTAAAAATGTATATATTACTACTTTTCACTTTTTTTCCTAATAAAGTTTAGTGTGTGTCAAACCAATAGAAAGTTACATAAAATCTCAAAAAAAATTATAAGACAAAACTTAAAAAAAAAAGCATTTTCGAAAGCAAGGATCAACCAAAATAAGGCTCAGATGTGAAAATCTACTTCCTTTCTTTCCGGTTCTTTCTGCCCTTGCCCCAGCCCTCAGTACAATTTTCCTGGTCTATTACTCTTCAGTTACATTAACATCGACATTGCAGATAACCTTCAAGTTGGTTGCTGTCCTTAGTCCCATTCCTAGAGATACAACTTGTATGATGTATATACTTGCAATCTATTATTCATACATTTTACATTTTATATGTAATATTTAGGATTTAGGTTCTTTCTTTAGGATTCTCATAATTGCTTATTTTCAAATTTCTACCTATCGGCAAATTTTCATTTAGAATTATATCAGTTTTATTCCTGATAATTGAAAAGTCTTATTTATTTTTAAATTATTTAGCTAATTTGGTTTTGTTCTTTTAAGTGATGGACAATCTTCAGCCATTCCTGTAGCCAGTATGGAGTTTGCAGCCATTTGTCTCAGAAACGCCTTGTTGCTGTTACCCGAAGAACAGCAAGATCCAAAGCAGGAAAATGGATCTAAAAATAGTAATCAGTTAGGTGGGAACACGGAGAGCAGTGAAAGCAGTGAAACTTGCAGGTATTCTAATCCCTTTGGCCCCCTTTGGTGCAGCCCCTCTGGAATGAAGGACTTCATTGTAAGCCTCTTTGTCCTTTAGATGAATTCCTAAAATCTCCAGTCAGAATTCCCTAAATCCCCTGTTTTGAATAATAAGAAAGGAAAATATGAATGTTGAGTATTTCTGGAAGAGAGAACACAAAGACTAAGTGAGGAGAGAACACTGGAAGAGAAGTGGAAAGAAACAGCTTCTCATTGACAAGATGAATAGGTGTAAAGAAATCTTGTTGCACTCAGTGACGCACTTTGTTTTTACTTGCATTAAAATGAATACTTAGGGACTGCTGGGTGGCTCAGCGGTTGAGTGTCTGCCTTTGGCTCAGGGCATGATCTTGGGGTTCTGGGATGAGTCCCACATCAGACTCCCTGCATGGAGCCTGCTTCTCTTTCTGCCTATGTGTCTGCCTCTCTCTCTCTCTCTCTCTCTGTCTCTCATGAATAAATAAAATCTTTTTAAAAAATTATTTAAAAATTATAAAATGAATACTTAAATCCTAAAACTTATCATTTCTTCTTAATCTCTGCCTTTTCTCTTAACATACTGTAAACCATTAACCTCCAGAATATTTCTTTAAATTTCTAGTTTTGTAGTATAAGTTCAGTATTATCCCAGTCTCTAGAAATTATGAGAGCTTCTAATAATAATAAAGCTCCATTATATATAAAGTTCTTTTTACACATGGCACCTTTAAATTCAAGTCTTTCATCGTAGCATTGTTTTAAATTATGGTAGAAATATATATATATATTTTAAGAAATATATTTATTAAGGAAAATTTGAAACAAAATTGTGGGGGGTTTAGTTTTATCCTCCGGGGTTAAGTTTTATTATAGGTGATAAACAATCAGAAGACTGAGAAATGTGTGAAAATATAGGGGTGGTTTCCTTTGTAGAGATATTGTTTACAATTAGAAATTTTTAAAAGCAGTATTATGTATTGAAGGAAAGAAACTGAAATACAGTATAGCTTTAACACATTGGTGATGCCAAGTTACTAAGCATTTTTCATTGATTGTTTTTTGCTCATGTATACATTTGGCATTAAAAAAATTGCATGGGAGTGGGAATAGGGAAACAAAATTTTATATTTAATTGTTTATTTGCTCTTCATAATTCAGAAGCTATCTTTATTTTAGCAGTAAAAGCCATGATGGAGACAAATTCATTCCAGCTCCACCTTCTTCTCCATTGAGAAAACAGGAATTAGAAAACTTAAAGTGAGTATCTAAACAAAATTAATATAGCATATATTGCATATGTTATTTTTAATCTTCTTTATTTTGTTAATATTATGAATTGTATTTATGGAAGGTCAAATGTTAAACCAACCTTTCAATCTTAGATAAACCCCACTAACTAGTTTATTATCTATGTATTATCTAACTAACTAGAATGTATTATCTTTTTTACAAATTGTTGGGTTTGATTTATTAATATTTTGTTAAGAATATTTGCTTCTGGCTGGCTCAATCTGTAGAGCATGGGACTCTTAATCTCTTGGGGTCGTGAGTGTGAGTCCCATGTTGGAGGTAGAGTTTACCTAAAAATTTGCTTCTAAAAAAAAATAAATAAAAACTAAAAATTTGCTCTAGGTTCATGAGAAAAGTTGATCCATATTTTTCTTTCCTTGTAATGTTCTTGTCAGGCTTTGGTTTCAGGGTTATGCTGACCATATAAATGAGTTCAGAAGGGCTTCTTCCTCTTCTATTTTCTGAAAGAGTTTGTGTGAGATAGGTATTACTTCTTCCTCAAATGTTTAATAGAATTCACCAGGGAAGCAGTCTGGCCTAAAAATTTTTTGTGGGAAATTTTTGATACTGAATTGAAATTCCTCAGTAGATTAGAACTATTCAGATTTCTTTCCTTTTTAAAAAAAATATTTATTGGGGGGAGATGGGAATGCTAGCAGAGGGAAGGAGGCAAAGGGAAGGGGAGAGAGAATCTCAAACTGACTCCCTGCTGACTGTGAAATCCAATGTGGGACTCCAATCCAAGGATTCTGTGATCATGACCTGGGCTGAAGTCAGTGAACTGGATACTTAACAACTGAGAGCCATCAGGATGCCCCTCACATTTTCTATTTCATCTGTGTCAATTCGGGTAAAATATACTTTTGTCTGTGTACACTATAAGCCCTTTATTGGTTTAAACAGTCATATGTAAAAGAAATTTAAATCAGGGATGCCTGGGTGGCTCAAGCAGTTGAGCATCTGCCTTTGGCTCAGGGCATGATGCTGGGTCTGGGGATTGAGTCCCGCATTGGGCTCCTTGCATGAAGCCTGCTCTCCTGCCTTGTCTCTGCCTCTCTCTGTGTCTCTCATGAATAAATAAATAAAATCTTTAAAAGAGAGGGAAAGAAAGAAAAGAAAAAAGAAAAGAAAGATAAATTAATTTAAAGCAGTCTTTTAGAGGTGCCTGGTGGGCTCAGTTGGTGGAACATGCAACTCTTTTTTTTTTTTTTTCAAGATTTTATTTATTTGAGAGAGAGCAAGCATGAGCAGGGGGAGGGGCAGAGGGAAAGGTAGAAGCAGACTCCGCACTGGGCAGGAAGCCCAATGCAGGGCTATATCCCAGGACCCCAAGATCATGACCTGAGCTGAAGGCAGGTGCTTAACTGACTGAGCCATTCAGGCATCCTGAGCATGCAACTCTTGATCTCAGGGTTGTGAGTTTGAGCCCCATGCTGGATGTAGAGATTACTTAAAAATCCTGAAAGAAAAAAGTAGCCTTTTATATTTAGCCACATACTTAGCACTTTCAGCTGATTCTAGTTTCCATAAGATACGATTTCCCTTCATTCTGAGTATCTTCCTTCAACATTTCTTATAATACAGGTCTTCATTTTCCTAGGGTATTTTTTAAAAAAAAAAAAAACTATTTAAATCTAGAATTGTCTTTTTTCTTTTTTTAAGATGTTATTTATTTATTCATGAGAGACACACACACAGAGAGAGAGGCAGAGACACAGGCAGAGGGAGAAGCAGGCTACATGCAGGGAGCCTGATGTGGGACTCGATTCTGGGTCTCCAGGATCACGCCCTAGGCTGAAGGTGGCACTAAATTGCTGGGCCACCAGGGCTGCCCAAGAATTGTCTTTATTTCATCTTTATTCTTGGAGGATATTTTCGCTGAGAACAGAACTCTCTCGGTTGGTAGAGTGTATTTTTCCTTTCAGTCAGCTCTTTTTAAAGGTCACTGCATTATCTTCAACCTCTGTTATTTTTTTTAAAGAGTTTTTCTTTATTCATGAGAGAGACCGAGAGAGAGGCAGAGACATTGAGGGAGAAGCAGGCTCCATGCAGGAAGTTGGATGTAGGACTCGATCCCAGAACCCCGGGATCACACCCTGAGCCAAAGACAGACACTTCAACCGCTGAGCCACCCAGGCATCCCTAACCTCTATTATTTCTGAGAAGTTCATAGTCATTGTATTTTTCTATCTATAGATTGTCTCTGTTTTTCAGCAGTTAGACTATGATGAGTATGATTTTCTTCATTTTTACTCTTTCCTTGGAGTTAGCTGACTTTCTATAAATTTATCTTTAAATACTTTTGAAATGTCTTGACCATAATTTCTTCATATTATTTTTGGAACTAGGCTGAATGGTATAGCATTACTTTTAAGAGTGATTTCAATAATAGAACTTAAAATGGAAACAAAGAACCATTATTTTAAGAGCCATGATTTCTTAAATTCTTGCCTACTGCAGAAGAGTGACAGAAGTACATTTAAATATTTAGTTAGTTACTCATTGCTGGTAGCATTGTAAATTAATAGATTATTTTTGGAAAATATTTCATATATTACCATATTTTCTCCAACAAATAGTGCTAGCCTTAGCCTTGTGAAAGGTACAAGGGAATTAGAGGTAAAGGAAAAAACACTGCCTTCAAAAGCAGATGGTGAGGGGTGCCTGGATATCTCAGTCAGTTGAGTATCTGACTCTTGATTTCAGCTCAGGTATGATTTTAGGACTATGGGATCAAACCCTGAGCTTTGCTTAGCACTCAGTAGGGAGTCTGCTTCCCTCTCCTCTTCCTCCTCCCCTCTCTGAGCTCATAGGCGTGCTCGCTTGCTTTCACTCTCTCTCTAATAAATAAGTCTTAAAAAAAAAAAAAGCAAATGGGAAATACTTAGGAGAAAATGATATAGGGATGCCTGGGTGGCTCAGTCTGTTAAGCGTCTGCCTTCAGCTCAGGTCATGATCTTAGAGTCCTGGGATCAAGCCCCACATTGGGCTCCCTGCTTGTGGGGAGCCTGCTTCTCCCTCTGCCCCTCCTCCCCACTCATGTTCTCTCTCTCTCTCTCTCTCTCTCTCTCTCTCTCGTTCTCTCTCTCTCTCATAAATAAATAAGATCTTTTAAAATGATATTATTTAGTAGCTTAGTTATTAGGTGGTGAAATATGGGATGTCTCTTTTTTTCTTGTGATATTTTAGTACCCTGAGAAATGAAAATATGACCTTTTTGTTTCTTTCCATCTGCTCAGAGTGCTCAATCTGATAACAAGGTTTACTGATGACTTGCACCTGTTTTTCTGTGAACCTCCTTTTGATAGAATTTACCATTTTCTTACTGGGTTTTTCATCTTTTTTGTTTTTATTAGAGTTCTTATATATTACAGAAATTGGCCTTTATCATTTCTGAGATTGTTTGATATTTAGTTGTAAAACAGTTTCATTTTTTAAGTATCAAATTTATCACTCTTCTTTACATTTTGTTCATTTCATTTAATGTGTAGAAAGGCCTTCTTGCCTCCAAAGATTAGAAAATAATTCTCCCATGTGTTCTAACACTGTCACAAGCACCAATCTAAATTTTTCATTTAGAATCTATCATATAGGGCAGCCCGGGTGGCTCAGCGGTTTAGTGCCACAATTGGCCCAGGGTGTGATCCTAGAGACCCAGGATCAAGTCCCACATCAGGCTCCCTGCATGGAGCCTGCTTCTCCCTCTGCCTGTGTCTGTGCCTCTCTCTCTCTCTCTGTTTCTCTCATGAATAAATAAATAAAATCTTTTTAAAAATAGAATTTATTATATATAAGCAAAAAAGATAGAGATCTGTTCATTTAATTTTCAAATAAAGAAACAAAGGGGTGCCTGAGTGGCTCAATCAGTTAGGCATCTGCCATGACCTGCACTCAGGTCATGATCCCAGAATCCTGGGATTATAGGGCTTTTGCTCAGTAGGTTGCCTGCTTCTTTCTCTTTTTGTCTCTCCTCTTGCTTATGCTCTCTCTCAAACAAATAAAATATTTTTTAAAAAATAAAGTATGAAACTAAAATGTTGAGATTTTGTCTAAACAATTTAAAATTACATTTTTATAAAATAGCATGTATATGTTTATTTGCATAAAAAAAAGTTAGAGGGATCTGTCAAAACCTTCATGATTATCCCTACATGGTGGAATAACTGATTATTTTCTTTTGGATATCTGTTTTTTAAAACTCTTTAAAAAGGAAGATATTTCATTCTTGTTAGTGATGCCCCTTCTTGCATGTCTAGTGTTTTTGGAGGAAGATTGGCCAGCTGGTCATGCCCTTCTCTCTCTTCCCCCTCTCTTTCTTTTCATTTAAATAAAGATGGGCCTTTTTCTGATGCTGTCAGATCATTGTGTTCATGACAGGGCATTGCTGTCCATGGGCAAAGGGCTTTATGCACCATGTTCACCTAAACAACAACTTTTTATTTATTTATTTAATTCTGTCAGAGTGTACCATAAATTTTCACTTGCATTAATGCTTTCTCTGTCCTGGGTTTTATCAGGGGAAGGAACTAATGCTCTGATTATATGGAGGAAAATCGTAAATCTCAAGTTTAGTTAGATGAGGAATTGGTCATTTAAGATTTTGAAAGTAGAGTTTTGTTTTATTAAAGCCTGACAAAGGTAATTAAATGTTTTATTCAGTAATCTGTAGTTCATTAAAATTTCTTGAATTATCATATGAGTCATAAGATAGCAAGGAAATAAAAATAGTATAACACATTGCCAGTGAAGAGGTGCCTGTGTGGCTCAGTCAGTTAAGTGTCCATCTTTGGATTTCAGGTCACATCATGATCTCAGGGTCGTGGAATTGAGCCCTGTTTTGGGCTCTGCGCTCAGTGTGGAGTCTGCTTCTGTCCATCTCCCTCTCCCTCTGGCCCCCATCTCATTTGTATGGGCATGTGCATACTGGCACACACACAGAATCTCTTGCTTGCTCACTCGCTCTGAAA